TCCTTTTGAAATTTTGAAGATACTTTAGAAATGAAAGCTTAATATAATTATAACCCTTGTTTTATTGCAATACACCTTCAAACATGAAGCAATACTAAAATAGAATTGACAGCAAACATAAAACAAAAACGTTATACAGCTAGACAACGTTTTGATTATTAAAAAAAAAACACTTTTAAAAGCTCACCAATCTAATCATAGATAAATAAATAATAAATTTTTCATTAAAAATTCTTCTAAAGGTGATTATCTTTTCAAACTGATTTATTCATTTTCAAAAAACACATAAATGATAATCTCATTATTTGTTAATAAAGCGAATTAGTAAAGAGTACATTTCCACTTGTGCTCATGAAATGAACCAATTCATTTTTAGCTGGGCTCATTGCTATTGCGACGGTGAGCAACAGGAAATGCTGCTTCTTCATCGCCAAATTGAGTTTACGAGTAAAAATATAGTACGTACGCCCAGCCGCTGTTGAGAAAACAAACTCTGTTCAAACACCTTAAGAAATAGTAAATCGAATATCTTTATCAAAATATTAAATTGTTTAATATTTTTCCTGGCTCCTTTGACTAATATTTTACAAAGCAATTCAAAAGGTGCGAAAGGTTTTCATCAGGTATCCCTGTCTACGTTAGTTTAAAATATATTTTATTCATTTAATGAAATGGATTGAACAGCAGGCATAAATGCCTATGATCGTTCTCCCTGTCTACGTTCTATAAATAAAGGTTGTACTATCAGGCTAACACAAATGCAGGGAACATCATTAATGACTTGATGCAAAACTCCTCACTGAGGACACATCAAGGCATAGTCGTTTGACCTTAATTAATCTTGCTGCATCGGTGTTCATTTACTTCTGTTTGTATATAAAACCCCGAAACGATACATGTGATAAATATTTTATGCTGTTAATTTCTAGTTTCAAAACTCAGCAATATTTCTCATAGATTTATGCTCAATTCGTTAACCTAAATAATATCCATTAAGTAAAGTGGGAGAACTTTTAAAGATTTTGTCATAGGATTGAAAAGTTGTGCAAAAGTTAGTATAGAAGTACAGATGTATATAGAAAGCGACACAAAGTTTCTTATTTAAACACGAAAAACATCCAACGGTTTTATATTTAAATTCCATGGCTTTATTATTCACAGTCAATTAATCAGTCAAAAATAGGTATCAATCCATGCATCGAGTTTTTGTTTGTGTTAAGTACCCTGTAATATTCATAGCTTTTAGTGGCAAATAATAAATAACATGTGTTGGGACGTATATAGAGTCCTAGTGGAGATTTTGAGTCCTAAGTAAAAGGAAAGAGAACTCTAAAAAGGAACTTTTCCCCAATGATTTTGAAAATTGTGTTTCATGATCAATATAATATTCAATTCAATTTTTGGTGTTATCTATTAAAATTTAGTTGGTTTCCTGCCAAACATTTCTCTCTCTTGTTCAACATGTTGAATACTCAATTATTTCTAGTTTACGGGGATACGGTATATATATATATTATAACTATACATATAGAATCAACGTATGTATGGAAATGAAAATCGTCGTCAGTATATTTAAATGTCGAATGAAAGTATAAGACGAGAAGATGTAATTGTTTTCATGTAGAAATGTCTGACTATATTCTGCTTTGTAAGAAATTAATTGATACAATAGATACCGATGTGAATTCCAAGAATTTCAAAAACAACACTATGAAAAAAAACTCTCTTTTACTTTTGGAGATATCTTTCCAAGTTAAAGAGTTTCAAAGTTAAAGGAAAAGAGATATCTCTCTTAGTTTATCTTAAAAGATATCTCTTAAAGTGAAAGAGATATTTCCAAAAAGTGTATAAAAGAGATATCTCTCAGGCAAAAAGAGTTATCTCTTTATCGCAAAGAGATATCTCTCTTCATTATTTTTATTAAATTCCATTCAAAATGACTTCTCCCTTACCGGAAGTAAGCTTTTTATTATTCCTTAATATTAAACTTTTAGCATTTGATCAACGAAGTTGCCATTATTATTTGTTCTTTCTAACAAGGGATTTATAGCATTTTGTGAAGTAAGCTTTTTATTATTCCTTAATATTAAACTTTTAGCATTTGATCAACGAAGTTGCCATTAATATTTGTTCTTTCTAACAAGGGATTTATAGCATTTTTGTCCACATAGTACATATATTATTCAGGGTATTGCATGTTCAGTCTTTTTCGTATCGCAACGAAACTATTCCAGAGACTTTAATTACATCCTGTTTCGCTTTTGTTTTAAAGTGGAGAATTTATAATTTCATTTCAAGGATGAATGGAAAAGAGATATCTCTTTCATTAAAAGAGATATCTCTTTAGCTTAGGAAATATCTCTTTTTTGAAAATCTAAAGAGATATTTCTCTAACTTTCAGAGATATCTATCTCGTTTAAAGAGATATCTCTCAAGCTTTTAAAGATATCTCTCTAAGTAAAAGAGATATCTCTCTTACAAAAAGAGATGTCTTCTTTGTTTAAAGAGATATCTCTCTAAGGTATAAAGATATCTCTATTAGTCAAAGAGATATCTCCATAAGCTAAAAATATATCTCTCTATGCTAGAGAGATATCTCTCTTATTGAAAGAAAGTTTTTATTTCACAAATAAAATAATAGTAAAATGACTTGCCATACGCATAACTTACAGATCTTAAAAATGAAATAAAAACTTAAAGAGAATAGCTTGGAAGGAAATATTTTTGTTTCTCTGGCTGTTAACTAACACTGAAAAGTGGATTTATTTCGTGAAAAACTCAAAATACGCAGAAGCATGGTCGGTTGTCGATTGGTCTTTCTAAAATTTGATATTAAACTTTCAAAAAAAAAACATCACAAATGTTATTCCTGAATAATACATTAAGAAGAAACATTTTGATTGTACCAACAAGCTAGTACTCTCAAGTTGATTTTAAAATATGTATCTGTTTCTAATTGACAATATATATGTTGTTTTTGGAAACCTAGTCTTCCGACAATCTATTGGAATCCCCCTTGGTACCAATTGCGCCCTCTGATTAGCAAACACTTTGTATTTATATGAAGCAGAGTATATTTGGAATCTTATACATGAAAAGAAGAAAACACTTCCTGTGGCCTTCAACTCGAACTGTAGATATATCGATGTCGTATTATCAATTAAAATAGTTACAGTAAATGAAGTTTAAAAAGCGGATTTCATAATTCATCGGCTTTGGCGGGAGTAAGTATGCGCTAAATCATGAATATATCTAAGATATCTTAAATAAAAATGACACATAAGGAGATAAAGAACAATATTCAAGATCAAAAGTCCATAAAACAATACAAAATAGGAACAGAGCAAAGCATCAGAGGTGGGATCAGGTGTCATGGAGGAGTGAGTATCCCTGCTGATCGGTCATGGTGCTCCTTGTCATGATCGGAAATATCATATACAGTACAGACACTTGATTACGCCAAGCTTGACTCCATAATCTGTGGTGGCGCTAAATTTTGAATACGCCAAATTATTTACACTGCCAATATTTCCATTCATTTGTCGACAGGATATATTCCAGTGAGCTTGAAATAAAAAAAAAAGTGCACAGAGTTTAACACGTCTTTTTCATATTTGGATATTTTACAAGGAAAAGACGTAAATTGTAACCTTACAACAAAGTTTTATATTAAATCTGAAGATTTCAACTTTTAATCAACTTCCCTTACTTATGCAGCAATATACCTTCATCACCTGCATTCGGAATTTATATCTCTCGGTTTATTCCAAACGCAAGAACTTGCTCTACATTATTATGAAATAATGCTATTTATCGACAAACAAATTGATGAAACAAGAATATCAACAGCCTGGATTAAAGTCATCATTTCGTTCTATGGTATATACAATGACATTGTCAGCAAAAATAATCTTTATCTTCAATACAAATGTTGACAGACATTAAAGTAAATACACTAAATATACACACCCTCATATATCATATGTAACTTCCTCTAAGTCCAAAAAAGATATTAAAAAGAAGAACTTCACTTACAAGGATACAATGGAAAAAAGAACTTGCTCTGTAAAAAAAATCTGTCAATCACATAGTTTATAGATTAATGTTTAGATACGATCATATTCTGTATACATATACATATATCATGTAAACTTGTTATGGATGTAGAATTTCGAAATTTAAATCATGTTCACTCAAAGAACCCTATCTTTTCACACATGGTCATTAATTCAGAAGTTGCAGAGAGGTAAAGAAATATATCAGTTTGATTTCAGAAATATGCTTGGTTAAAAATTAACAGCAAACATATAAGAGGTTACATGGATAACGAGTATTAATTGTTTTGTGTGCATTTGTCCTTAGAAGAGAAAGAATAAAAGCAGCGTGAAAGTTTTACCAATTTTCATGACCTAGTTCTCTTACGACGGATATTGTGCAGTAATATGTCTCGCCTCTGTTGTAATTTCAATGAAGGGATTTTAATATTTCCATATCCAAAGACTTTTTAATCCTTCCTCAAAATATTTATCACCCTCTACTACGTTGACTCTTTGGTCCGGTTTAAATACCCAACAAAAAAGTAATGACTCAATTAATTCGTGGAGCTTTTATGTAGGCAAAAAAATGTACTTAAGTTCTTAAATGCATAGATGATATTTGTATGTGACACATGCAAAATTTAGTGAATCAAAACTTTTCTTTTCTTGTTTACATTGACAACAATTTACTGTAAATGTATTACATTTGGCTGTGTATTCTTTTTAGCGCCTTTCGCGGAAAGCAGCCTCCGCTAAATCAAGTACATCGCTAAATGCTGTGTGTATAAAGGATTATGTAACGCATTTTCAAAAAGCGGTAAATCAAATTAACGCCAACTTGTTGAAAATTCAATTTCCGCCAAATATTGTACACGCCAAATATAATACATTTACAGTAATTTGTCCTTAATCAAATGTGCAATAACTATGAATTAAGAAATTATATAAGGTTTCGGGGATTGAAATGTATGTGGTGAAATGACTATGGTGTATTCTGAACAGCTGTGGTACGTCTAGTCCAAAGCCTCTGAAGTTAGTTGTCTAACTTCTGGATTTGAATTCTGTGTTTCAATATTGTTTATAAAGGAAGGAGGGACGTGTGTTCAAAGTTATTGCAGTATGTTTCATCGCGCTCAAACTGTCCCCTGATGAAATGAAAATATCATCATGGGGTGTACCTCCAGTATGTCTAGGAAGAACTCCACGGCGACTTCCTTCCGGCTTATTTTAGTCGGTTTGGATGGGGCAGGTAAATATTATACAATATACATATTCATGTACTGAAGAGATAATTATACAAAAGTGTTTAGGTGTGAAGTGGGGATGAGAGGTATCTGTTTTCTCTATCTTACGAACATTCTTTTACAAGATATTTCACGTTCTAGATTTTGGGTTTTATACTCTTTCCAACAAACTAATAGAAACTGTGCTGCGATATATGGAGTAATTGTACACTTCAATAAGGGAAAGGGGCCAGTTGGACAAAGTGACCAAAACATGATCTTTAAACCCCCACACCCAGCGAATAGAAGATTGTTAGAAGATAGAGAAACATACATATGGAAGAGAGTGGATTATCCTCCCTCCACAGTCCATCTTCGAAAAGATAATTTCGGATTCCACAAGCTGATTTTTCTTCCTTTCTCATATTTTTGATTGTCAAAAAATTTTGACTTTCTTTCTATTTTGAATTAGCATTGACACATGTTTTAAGTTTAGACAAAAAATCATATCCGCACATGATTTACATAAACAATATTTAAGTTTTAAAAAATTAAACATAAATGAAGTATGTTTGCTTTGTCATTGATTCTGAATATGTACATCGGGTCTATTGAAATTTTTTTTCAATTTTATAGGAAAATCTTCCCTGCTGTACAAATTGTCCATCGGAGATTTCGTCGAGACAAAACCAACAATGGGTTTTAATGTAGAGACAATTAATTATAACAATCACACGATCACACTGTGGGATATGGGAGGAAAACCTAGTATACGCAAATTATGGAAGCACTACTATCTTAACTGCCATGGTAAGTGACTAATTAAAACAAAATCCCCATCATACTTTGTATATACATGTAATAATCTTCTAAGTATAAGAGGCTCTGAATAGGAATGGTAGGTACCAATATATACATGTACCAATACTTACTACGCGCATTTCCTAACAGTTTAAAGTGACTCCACATTATATGGAAAGTTAAAGTATTTAATATGCAGTATATTGAATGTTAAATTTTCAGAGAATTAAACATTCTGAGGATTTTTCAGCCATATATTATCACACTAGTTCTTATTTCAAATTGTATGTCAATATAGCTTTAGTAAAAAAAAATCTTGGATTTTAATCTCGTATACGGGAATATGCCACTAAAAATACTTGTACCATAAGGAATTTCAGAACCATAATAACTACTGTTCAAACATAGAAATATATTATCTTCACAATCCCAAATGTCCTGCTTGTGATCAAATGGTAGCATGCATAGTGGGAGACGGGGATTATCCCATTGTAAACTCTCGACAGCGAGTCCTTACATTTATAAGACCCATACTTAATACTCTTTGTCCTTTAAACATGAGACTAATTATTTTATGTTTTGTCGTTCTGGAACTTAACATAATTTCAACAAATGTTTATTCGGCGATTTTTAAACCTTTTTTTACGGATACTAAGTATATTCCAATCATATCAAACCCTGTTTATATTTTTCTGAAAATTATCTAATATCGTTTTTCATACAATATTGCTTCATTTTAAGCATCAAGCAATTCAACATTTTTTGGAATGAGATTGGTGATATCCTTTTAATAGACAATGATATTTCAGAATTTTTATTTTTTTAACCTACAGTTAACTCGCATGACGAACTCCTAAAATTAGCAAATATGTTTTCTTTCTCGTCCGGGGAACCAATCTGTTACCAACTCATATTTTGGAAAAAAAATCTAAGTGTGGAGTCCTGTAGATTTGAAACTTAAATCAATAATTTCATTCAATTTTTAGCTTAATTTGCGGGATAGTCCATTATTTTTTTTAAAAGAATTTTGATCAAAATTTAACTTATGAAAACAAGTTTACTTATACCTTCAATATGGTGCACATTTCTGTCCCCTACATGCAAGATTTTATGCTAACATGCAACATAATTATAAAGACAAGTTACATATTAATGTCAACATTCAAGTTAATTATGTTGACATGCATCTTATACCTATCTTATTTAAGAAATAAGGTATCATTTTTTGAGTTATATTGGGATGTAAAACCGGTTGGTCACGTGATCAAATCCCATAAAGCCCGAAGGGCTTTATGGAAGATTTGATCATGTGTCAACCGGTTTTACATCCCAATATAACTCAAAAAATGATACCTTATTACTTATATTTACACTTGTTGCGATGTTTTTGCCCACAACGAGTTTCCATACATTCCTCTTTTTTGACCTAGATAAGCGCTTCAGTTAAAATGACGTAACAAAAAATAGTTCCAAGGTAGTGCAACTATTTATTTAACACTGATTAAAAAAATAAACAGTTGTTTAAGTCACATTTACAATATATTATCTAAAGAAGAAAAATTACAAGAGAATTAATGTGTATTATAAGAAATACGAATAAAACTTTGCGGAGTGTCACTACTTCCGTTGGCGTAAAGAGGTCGCAAGGCGTCTATTTGAAGTTGAAAACACACTGGTTGAAAACGGACTTGGAGAGGAAATCAGACGACATTCTGGTGCTCACAGAAGAACTAGCATCGAAAGAAGGATGATTTTCATTCGGAACGGGGGAGAAAGGCCTGTCTTGTTTACGAGGAGAAACGGAAAGAGAAGCAGATGGGGCTGTCGAAGTGGAGGCACTGCACGAAAGGTTGGTGATGTTGCGATTGCGGTTTTGATCAGGATTTGTTAGGAGAGAAAGGCAAGAGCTTACAGAGCGTTTTTGATCATTTGACAATTCTCGGTTGTAGGTTTTCAAAGAAGCTTCACTGCGGTGCCCACTCATAAACATAATCTGCCGGGACTCGAACCCATGATCGCTCATAGCAGTAATGGCAGTGGCTCTCAAGCAGTGAGGGGTGTAAGACTTAAGACATTTTGAAGACTTGCATATATCCGCCATGTATCCACTGAAAGATCTCTTCGCCAAAGGTTTAGATGTATACCACAGATCAGATCCAGAGTTCATCAGAGCTTCTTTAAAGCATGTGTTAAAAAGACCTTTAGCACTGGACTCCGTCTTGCTCATCAACAAGCGCAGCATCTTCACAGGGCAGATATCACTGCCAGGAACCTCGTAGATCCGCTTTCCCGCAGGAGCTTCATCTGATCCGATTCCTCCTTGGAAATTTTTTTGCTGCGTTTCATGTCGAAGTGTAATGTACTCTAAATTGTTCTCATCTTTGTGAAATTCAAAGGAATCCATCTGTAATTGATGATGAAACTCTAAGCCACGCGTAACTAAATGGATAGACAAATTGTACCAAACGCATTGGCGAAGGACAATTGGGGAATGTGGAGCTGAAAGAAAATACGAAGATATGCGCTCAAGGTCTTCAGGATGAATTACTGATTTGTGCTTTGTAGCTCTCGATACACCAGTTTTTGTCATTGATTTTAGCATTCCATCTAAAGTGTAATTGGCTGTTTTGAATTCCTTGTCGCGGACAATATCTATTGATCTTCCTAAATCTTGAAGGTGTCTGTTGATGGCAGCACGGAGGTTTTTTAAGCTGTTCTTGTGATAATTTTCTGCCTGTGCAGACGTTAATTCTGCTGCCCTTTTTGGAGTTGATTTGGGTCTGGCTTCAATAAAATTTCCTCAATTTCTCAGCAAGGATCTCAGAAGGGACAGTTTTGAAATCAAGAACATCGTGAAAAGACCTCCAAGTGCCAATCTATAAATTGTAAAGGGAATATTTATTTCAACATTTTATTTTGATTTTATTATTATTTATTTATTTTCTAAAAATTTTTGTTTGTTCTGTTTCATAGTTTGCATGCAAGTTGCATTGTTTGATTGATTTGTTATATTGATATGTTAGTTTCTGCATTTGTTTGTTTGTTTGCTTGCTTGCTAGGCTGTTGGCCTACAGGCCTACATTTTAATTCTGTATTAAACAATCATCTGTTTGTAGACTGCAGAGAAAAATCTGGTATACCTTTGTGCTGGTGAATGTATTGTTTTACTGTAAATATACTCGTAGAACATGCTTTTGCCTTATTTACATGGATATATTAATATCAGCATTGTTCTTTTTTTTTTCATTGGTTCAATTTATTTATTATTTATACTCCTTGTTTTAGTTCGTTGTTATTTTTGAGCACTACTTAAAATTATGTACCTTGAAAGAGTTTCACTCCCCATTGGGTATTTCGTTTTGTTGAGAGAGATTGTCTGGATTCCTCAAATTCTTTCAAATTTTCCTCAGACATGGACTTGAATCTCTTACTAGGGGGGGCAGGCATACCAGGGCTAGGAAGTCCCTCCATATCAGACATTTTCAGCTCCTTTCGACCTCTTCAGTCTCTTCAACGCTTGCTGGAGCCATAAAAGGGAGATCCAGAGCGGCCATGATTTCATTGTCAAACAGAAGATACAGCAATGGGTCGTTATCACAGAGGTCAAAATCGCCAAACTCAGCCATTGTTTTGGTAGGGGGGGTTGAAAGCAGACGTGTATTATGATAAATGAATAAAAAAAAGTTTTTTGTAATGTAAAAAAAGTTTTTTTGAACAGATTTTATTTAATGTATTAAAATTATTTTATTTTTAATGTGACATTGTGTTTCAACGCCTTTTATTTGATTTCAGCCGGTTTTGTTTACGTTCGTAGTAAAGTAGTGACCCAGTTCTGAGGAGGTCAATGTATTCATGCGCGCTATTTGTCATATGACCTCTTGACCCCAAACATGTTTTATTGGGATGTAAAAACGACCGACTCAAGTAATGTTTATATAGGACAAAACATTTGCAAGTGTAAATATAAGAAAATATAATTTGAATATGGGTAAATTTACTTACTAACGCCTGTATCTGACATCGTAGATATAAGATGCAAAATGATTATGTAGACATGCGACTTATTTATGTCAACATGTAAGATAAATATGTAGACATGCAACTTATTTTGTCAACATGCAAGAAAATTATGTGAACAAGCGACTTATTTATGTCAACATACAAGATAAATATGTTTGCATGCAAGATATATGTGTTGATATGCAACTTATTATCTTGATTGTCGGGGGCAGAAATATGCCACCATACTTCAATGTTCATTGAAAGATGTTTTTAATCTTTAGAGGAAAATGACACAATTTACATTTCATTTAACAATAGGCATGCTTTTTGTCATTGATGGGTCCGCTCGCGATCGCCTTCAAGATGCAGATGACCTTCTGACGTCACTACTGCTGGAGAAAGAATTACATGGCGTTCCTATGGTATTTCTGGCGAATAAAAAGGATATCGAAGGTTAACATCACCTATATTTTTGAACGATTGAATAATTATGCAGAAGTCCTTCTTTGCTGCGATAAATCATTATAAATAGTAATTTAATATGTATACTGACATAACATCTTATTGGTGACCATGTTTGAAGAAACTCAGCCGGAAATGAGATATGATATTGAGTTTATATGTAGTCTATTAACTCTTTAAATACTCAATCTTCAAAAAAATTGATAGAAATATTTTTTTTTCCTTTTAGGAGCATTATCGGAGAGTGACGTCATAGAATATTTCTCATTAAACCAGATTTCCGGCCGGTTGTGTACTGTGCAAGGTACAAGTGCACTGACTGGGGAGGGAATTCATAAAGCTTTGGATAACATGATTAGCTTTAGAAGACATATCGACAGAATGCAGGCCTGATGTGGGGATGAAACTCTTACAATTAATTCACAACTAATTCATGTGGATGCAGGGTCACTGAAGTGTTCAAAAAAAGTGGTTCTGGGCTTCTGCACACGATGCATGTAACATTGAAGAAATGACACCTCAATGGGAAAACGTACGTGCCTAGAAGAAATCTTATCTACAGTGTGTTGTGCGAAGAACAAATTCTGACTAAATTGAATTTGTACTGTTCTAAGGGATGAAGGATCAAAATGAAATAAGCTTGCCTTAACTTGCTAATTTGCTTTTCATCATTAATTATGTTATTAATTTTTTTTATTAAAAATAACTGCAAACTTTGCATTTTTGTATTTTAAAAGCGTATGTACCTCTTGTACACAAAGTCCAAATCAACGTCACGTGACCAGACAACGGAGTCTATCATAGTTATTTCCATCGTATCTTCGGTGTAAATCAAAGGAAAAGACACAAATTAGCAAAATGTTGGATATGACGCAAAAATAATACCTACCCTCAAAGGATGTATTAAATGATAAATATTGGTGCTCCAAAATAAGGGTTTCCTCGGGATTTCTTTTATAGTTTTGTGACTTATTGGTTTTTATGCCATCCTCTTCTAATATAATGGATATACCTTTTTAGCCATGAGTCAACTCTGCTCTGTTTTTGCCAAACAGATAACATAACACAGAGTTTGTCGAAAAAGAACATTCATTTTTGAAAATGCCAAATATATATTTCGAATCTTAAAAGTACATACGACACACGTAAAAAATCTTAGACACAAAATACAAGAAACCTCATGTAAAAAAGTATCTCATTACAAGTATACAAAGAAAAATGTGCCTAAGATATATACAGTACAAATACTGATATATAAATAACAAATGTATTGCTCATTGGACTTAAGTTATATGGCAAAAACGATGGGACTAATCCTTATAAAAACGCCATGAACTTATTGTCAAATTGACAAGTGACAAATAGTTTGGACGATAAGAATTTCTTCGGACAAGTTACATGTATAACCTCTTTCATACGAGTCAGTTTCTTTGAAAGGGGATACAGGATAGAAAAATTGTTCAATTGGCTCACACGCACGGGTCAGTATCTGGTCAGAATGAGGCATGATGCTACATTTTAATTGACTGTGATACAATTCATTTTACAACTTTCCATTCTATCTTACCACAATAGTACATAATGAAGAACGAAAACTCTGAAATTGAAAGGTGAATATTATTCTTCTTACTTTTATTGGTTTATTTAGCCGATGTGATGTAATTAATATTTTTTGAAAATCTCATTTAAACTTTATATGAACAATTTCATGTTTTCATCACTCTTTGGATTTCAAAGGATTCTAACGACGGATGTTGAACCTAATGGCGAGAATAAACCAAGACTGCATTCAGTGGATATCGCTGAAACAGACCAGCCCGTCCAAATTGAGAACAGCCAAACAAATACATTGCTATATGGTGTTTCTGATGTCCCACCCTGGTACCTCTGTATTTTTCTAGGTTTACAAGTAAGTGCTTTATTATAAATTATGCGTTTGTAGAGAAGAAATATTTCCTTTATTATCTATATTGCCAAAGAATTAATTTACGCGTACGATTTAATATTACGAGGGACGTTCAATAAATAATGTCATTAGCTCGATTTCATACAACATAGTACTCATATAGCATAAAGCTTGACTTTCTATCATTATTGAATCTTTAATGAATTTATAACAGTTTGGTTGACCACTTTTCATCGCATTATTTCATCGTGGGAAGCTGGAAAACAAGGGCTATATAGACACTGCATTAAAAATGAATGGACAGGAATCAGTAAACTAGAGTAAAATTAAACGCTTCATTAAAGCAGCTGTAAAACTTGTTAATATCCCAAAAACATATTAACTGAAATATGTGAAAATTACAGCAACCAATGCCTGCTTTATAGACAGGTGAACATGTTGATTTCAATAAACAAAAATTATTTAATGCGCATCAAAAATGGGTACCGTCCTTCACAACAATGAATTACAACAACCGATGTAAATTTGCGAAATTTCAACAAATTATCACTGATTATGTTTTATTGACACATAGCAAAATTGATAAAAATCATTTTGGGGATAGTTCATACTGTTTTAAAGAAACATTTTATAGTAAAAAGGTTTAATACTCAAAGGTCACCCTATATTTTGAAAAATGAGTGAAAACGACAGCGTGTAGGAATATCCAAACAATTATTTTGAAAAATCAAAAATTGCACTTATCCATGTTTATATGAAATTCTAACAGATAATGAAACTTGAATCCATTTTGCTTTAAGCCCTCAAAACAAATTTACAATAAGATACACTTGACAAAACTGCAAAGGCCTAAGAAGAGCAAAGAATTGCAAGAGCATAAAACAGTTTTATATGCTAGTTTCTTAAATATTAGCGGTCTTGTTGTTCAAATTCATATTCGATGAGAAAGTTCAATTTCTGGAAAAGTCTAGAAAACAACTTTTTTGCAAAAAAATTGAAAGGTTTATGAGAGGAAGGAAACAGAATGAGGAATCCACTACATTAATTTTCTTCATGGCGGCGTTCAAACCCACAGGCCATGAAGAGTAAAGGAGTTTTGGGGATAAACAGAAAGTTAATGTTTTGTCACACCAACAAAATTAGCCAGATCTTCAACTTTTGATTTCTTTCATCTCCCGAACTTGAAAAACATCTATCAGAAAGAAAAAAAACAAGTACAGCAAATCATAGGATCTGCCATATTCCAGTATACGAAGGGTCATACTCAAATATGTGTTCGAAAAACAATTAGAAAATGAATGAAAATGTTACGGATATGCGTTTTAATTGAAAGGGAATGTTTTAGTTTAATCATTAAGACTAAGTCATAGAAAAGCGTTTTTTGTTTCTTTCCGAGCCCCAATGGCATTATTTATTGAACGCCCCTCGTAAATTGCGATTTTAAAACAAATGATAAGCAAACAATTGTAATATTGTAATATGTTGAATATATTACATGTAATTATGATATATATGCTCTTTAGAAGAATGTTGCTAGGGTATTTAAGACACAGAAGACTATCAACAATTATTTTTTAAAAAAATGATTTGTTTGATACGATTAAACAATATTTGAGAAAATGATAAGCATGTATAATATATTCAGCAGCTGTTGAGAAGAAGAATATTGTTACGGAAATTTGGATTGAGTAGAATGCCAACAATTATATAAATATTATTTGCAGCAAGCTTTCACCGGCATTGCGGGTGCTGTTGAATTACCCATAATTCTCCGTGAAAGTGTTTGTATGGGAGATGATACAGTTGGGCTTTCAGAGTGGATTGGTACCACCCTTTTTACAACTGGTCTAGCTACGATAATGCAGTCATTCATAGGTATACGGTGGGTATTGAAGTAGGTAATAAATTCAGTTATAATTATAATTGCAATAGTTTAAGTACCGATGTCAGAACATTTCCATTTCGATTTTATTTTCTCTGTGATAACTCTTTGAAAGTTAGCGGAGTTGATTTCTTGATAATTCTACCAGAATGTGAATTAGGCAGGTCGATAGGTCAGGAGTCAAGGAGGCCTAATATGCATGCAAATCTCGTGCGCATCTGTTTCTGTGTCTGACGCTAAGGAGGCAAAATATGCATGTAAATCTCTTGCGGCTGCCTTTGTGTTTGACGTCAGTGGGCCAGGGCTATTGAAATTGGCATGGGAGTTCCGTGTAATTTAAATCTATGTCTATATTTTTAAAGTCTAAATCTTTAACTTTATTTCACAATGAAATGGAAATACAGTAAAAGAAATCACTGTCTTGTTAGTATAGTATGCCAGGGACATCAACGACAGTGGGAAACATGGGATGATTTATGCATAACGCCCGTTATGCAAATTATCCCATGCTTCCCACTATCGTTGATGCCCTGGCATACTATAATAACTAGACATTGATTCTTTAAATAAATTCCGCAAAGGAAGTTCTCTAATATCAAACTCAACGTTAGGCATAGCAATAATGTGTCTGTATTTGGGGACAAAAGCTATTAATCATTCAAAATACTTTCGTTTTCTTAAGGACAGATGATACAAACAAATTTTTGTCAAAAAATCCAAAAATAACAACTTGGGTCATGTTCTAATGAATAAAATGAATGTTTCACCGAGTAGTTTTTAATTTTTTATTCAAAGTTGCATAAAAATGGAATTAATTTGAAGTGAAAAATAGTTGTATAGAATAATAAGGATGGTTTCAGATTGGTAGAATTTTGAACATCACAGAAGGTTTACTATTTCTTTATATTTTTGTACAATTTCTTTATATTTTAGAAATTTATTAATTTTTTTTGCATAATTTGCAATGAAATTAGGTCAACAAATATACCACTCTAGACATCCATTTTTTTTGTTGTATCATCTGTCCTTAAGTGTAAAAATATCCTAAAATGTTCTCCAATGTAAGTGAAACGCCCATCCTGGACAAGTTTTCAGCTATAAATATACATGTATGTTGCTAGATTACCAATTGTACAGGGAACAACGGTTGCTTTTTTGATGCCCGTATTTGCCCTAATGTCACAGCCAGATTGGAAATGCCCTTCTAGTTTAACACAAGGTAGGGTGATTAAGAATATGTACTGAATGCAGTCATAGTGTTATCAATTAAAACACATTACAAGGACTTATCAAAATGTCCGAAGGCTTATAATTCCTTAAGATTAACTTATGAATTTAAAAACTTTAAAATTCTACAATATCTTTTCTGTCTATACGATAAACTTTGAGACATACATGTACACTTTATCTTTGAATATTTTGTGATTGTATACGTCATAGTGTACGTCATAATGGTGCAAAATCGTTAACAGCGTCAACGGATGTCTCTGTTGTTTTAAATCCACTAATGTAAGCGCGGCCCACGGAATAATTTTGAAAACCTCTTATAAATATTGCACTATTAATTAGCCATGACAACAATGCAACCAAACTATTTAAAGAGGTCAAAACCTTTGCATAACTTATGAGAGAATTTGTTGTGATAAATTTTCTGTAAGGAATATTTTTATTTTTTTCTATGTAAGAAATCAAATAATTGCCTATCACTTTTCTTTGAAGGAATAGAGAATTCTTCAACACCCTTTCTTGAAGTTGGCAGTGATAAACATAGAGAAATGTGGCAAACTCGACTAAGTGTGGTACGCAAATAAACTGAAAAAAAGATACAAATATTAAGAAAATGAGGGGAGAAAACTCAGTACAGTGTTGTACGTTGACAAATTTAACAAAAGAGAAGTTGGAGATGACAATGAAAGAGAAATGTGGCACATTCAATGTGAAGTGTGTAGTTGGCATTGAGATTGATTGACTGATTGTATATTATTTTATTTCCCATTCATAAATGTTTCACCCATATAAAAACGTCACCATATTCCAGGCTTCAAATTTAAGCCTTCATGTACATACATAGCACTTATGACCATCGGATAGTGAGGTTTCCATATATCGTGTCAACGCCAACCCTGACACAAATAGATGGCTACTAATAAATTTCTCTCTCGAAAAACTCGTGGCGTGGCGCGGAGATTAAAAAACTAATCCAACTTAATTTACCAGATGACTTTTTTTAACCTAGAATTTTTCTACATTTCTGAAATTCATTTTAAAACATTGTGTTCATTTAGGTCTCAGGATCATTGATGGTGGCATCTCTTTTTCAAATGATCCTTGGTATGACGGGAATGATTGGATTTTTAATGCGTTTTATTGGACCAATCACGATATGCTCTGTGACGTCATCCATAGGACTCTCATTATTTCCCATAGCAGTTTCTTATTCCAGTCAGCAATGGTACATAGCCCTATCGTAAGTTTAAGTGGTACATTAATATATTGATAGGAGACCATGATTCTGCAAAGGAGAATTGTGTCCAATTATTTCTGTTGATACAATTATAATGCATAGAATAAAACTATTACAGGGATTATTTCCTTCCATATGCTCGTTGAAAAAAAAAAATAAAACAACAGATGCGCCTCTCAAATAGTTTGAACATCTTTGATTAGCATTAATTCTTGAATTCGATCGTGTCTTTAGTATTTGGGTTATACATTCTATAAAATATTATCGTCTAGTTTCATCTCCGAAAGCTTTAATCATTATGATATACATGACATGTATATTTGCCAGAGAAAATCTTAATCACTTATATCGATATATTTTTTTCATTGATGCCGCATATATAAGCATTTCTTTGTTGAAAATGTAATACAAAATCCTATAAAACCATGTTTTCTATAATTTGTTCCAAATAATAACTAAAAGTCTAACTGCAAATAAGATTTTTTTTATTTTATTGTCAGAGTGATTTTCTTTGTCACTCTGTTCTCCCAGTTCTTGAAGAGGTGGAAAATTTTCACCATTTTTCCGGTAAGTAAGAATGAATTTTGCAGAGATAAAAAGTAAAAAAAGGATTTCTTGACTACAACACTTTAACTGTTTAATGTTTTACTTAACATTGTTGAAATAATATGCAATTACACATTAAAGAGAAAAAAATATTTAAATTCTTTCGCTTTGATATTTATTAATAATCTTTTACTCTTGGGTTATTTTATCCCTTGGACTGGGATGGCTGTTGTGTTTTGTACTCACTTACACTGGAGTCCTTACCGATCAGAAAGATGGCTGGGGTTATTCAGCAAGAACTGATATTAAGTCCTCGGTTATAGGGAAAACTAGCTGGCTTAGGGTGCCTTATCCAGGTAGAGAGGAAAAACACACCTTTGTCTTACCTGCAAAAAACCCGCACAAGATTAATTTAATTTTGAAAAGCAAAGTCAGTTGCAAATGTCTCGAGATTGTCCGAAATTTGTCAAAGTAATGCATCATTTAAAAATCATATCTAAGGTGGAAAATATAGTAGAACATTATTTTATTCTACCTAATGTGTGTGCTACTTTCTCATTCCTATCTTAATTAAGTTAACGTTCTATCAATTTTAAACAACTTTGTTACTGGTATTCGTTTTATTTATTTATATTTCAGCTTGGATATACCTCAGTATATATAAAAAAAAACATAAAAGAGTCTGTATCATTTGTCTTATGATTTGGATGTTTTATTGACCATAAGGGGCAATGTGATTTGATAGGCAAAGTCTAACAAATTCAAACATATTTTTCAGGTCAGTTTGGATTACCAATGGTCAACATTGCTGGTGTTTGTGGAATGCTTGCAGGTGTCATAGCATCAGTACTAGAATCAATCGGAGATTACTACGCATGTGCAATGCAAACGGGGGCTGGGAGACCACCTTCGCATGCTATAAACAGAGGTGAAGAGCTAACCACAGTACATTATTTAATTTAAGGGGTTAATTGTGATTTCTCTGCTGGACAATACATGTATATGTGTAGAAGTTGACATTATTTTGCCAGGGTTTTCAAATAAAGAAGTAGGCTGCGACACACGGTCGATATGTACAGTTTGTGAAGTGAAAGGCTGGATATTTTACCTCTGCCAATATAAAAAAAATTGTGCATTCACATTTGCACAACACTATAATTTGAAATGCAAGGATGGTTAACAAATCTGTTTTTCGTTACAGGGGTGGCTGTAGAAGGCCTTGGATGTTTCCTCTGTGGACTGTGGGGGTCAGGTATAGGCACGACGTCATATAGTGAAAACATCGCTGCAATAAATATTACCAGGGTATTATTTTCTTTATTCAATTTGAAACATCAGCATGAAAATATGTTTTATGAGTCCGTTTAACAACAAACTTGTTTTAGTAGGTTGGAAGTAGAAGAGTTGTATTAGTAGCCGGACTTATTTTGGTGATATTAGGCTGTCTTGGAAAGGTTTCAGCCATCTTTGTTACCATTCCACACCCTGTCTTCGGCGGTCTCTTTCATGTAACATTTGGTAAGCACATGTACTAGTTTTCTGTTTTCTTTCAATATCTATAAAACTGTAAATCTCATGGATAGTGTGAATAAAACACTCATTATGAAACCTCTGGCAAATGTAAATATATGTCTAATTTGTAATAGACTCTTAAAGGCTTCAAATGTAGAATAACTTTTTTTCTTCTAAATTTCACTAGTTTTCGAAGGCCTCAAAAGTAGAAAAGCTATGCTTTAACTTTTCCTAGGTTTATGAGGAAAATAAAAGAAACATTGCTTTTATCATATCATTCATAAAACTTTGAGATAAAATTAAACCTTTCTAGGGTCGAGTGTCGTTTTCCATAGTATCGACTTTAATACAATTGTATTTAGATTTACTAAGATACTTCAATTTCAATTTTTGACTATGGACCTAATGGAATAAATCCAAGGCGAAAGCAAAGAAGTAGTTCTCAATTTTTGAACATACAGGAATGGTGATGACAGTCGGTCTGACATATCTTCAGTTTGTTGACATGTCTTCGCCGAGAAACATTTTTGTGATTGGGATATCTATTTGTACTGGACAGACCATACCTACGTGGCTTAACCAAAACCAATCAAGTATTAATACAGGTAAAGCTAATCCAAAATCAAGTTTCTACAAATGTGAGCACTAGCAAAGGCAATCTAAGTTCAATAAAACTAAATCAACTTTCTAATTTTGTACAAATTCATATCATTTTATACAGTGAGTTACACCTAAATTTTCTTTGCAAAGGTAAACAACTTAAGTTCAATAAAACTAAAAATTATTACAACACGGGGCCACAGTACTCACATTAAAAAAAAGCACATTTGTTTACTGGGGAGGGGGGGGGGGCCCCCCCAAGGGGTCATGATTTGAAAAAAATTAGAATCTATCTTAATTTAGGCTTACAGATTCATATCATTTTATGCAGGTATGTATAAATTACTGTTACACCTAGTTTATATATATTCCTAAATTTTCTTTTGGCCCCACCCTAGCCCCAGGGGTCATGATTTGAACAAACTTGAATCTACACTACCTGGGGAAATCAAAATAAAAATATATATTCCTATGTCTTCCTGTAAACTGAATACTTTTATTAAAATAGAATAGCTCAGTTGCCGACTATTAGAATTTCACAATAGATAAGATTCCCAAAAGTCATAAAAAAATTTTTATTGCATGGTCAAGCAAATGCCACATCAAAAAAGTTGCATGTATTTGTTTGTTTGTTTGTTTGATTTTATATGACTCTTCATGTATATGACCTACTCATTACAGTACATATTTTAGGTCACAAATGCCACATCAAAAAAGTTGCATGTATTTGTTTGTTTGTTTGTTTGATTTTATATGACTCTTCATGTATATGACCTACTCATTACAGTACATATTTTAGGTCACCCAATACTGGACCAAGTAATCAGTGTTATGTTGGGAACCCATATGTTTGTGGCGGGATTAATTGCGTGTCTTCTTGATAATATTATTCCTGGTAATAGTCAATTTCTCCAAATTAGCATATATTTTTTTTATATGTTCACTTGCTTCTTGTTTGTTTGTTTAAATATTCTCCAAGTACTTTTCACTCATTTTGAGGCGCCACCACTTATTATACTTATACCTTGACATATGTTATAATTAAGAAGCATAGCACTTTTTACATGCTTAACGTATGATTGAAATGTTTCACATGCTTCAAGTATTATGACAAGCGATTTTTACACCTACTCTTTTATAATGGTAAGGTGAAAATATCAAACAAGGATCATCTCAAAAAATTAAAAATCCAAAAACTGTGGAGAAAGCCCCTGAGAATTCCAAAGGTGGAATCTGATGCCTAGGAGGAATAAGCATCTCCTATATAAAAATGTACACACACTTCTAAGACAAGCTTAATACTCTTACTTTTACAGGAACGCAACTGGAACGGGGCTTTACGAGATGGAAGAAGAGCACCGTAGCCTCATTTGATCACACAGGGGCCAGTTCTGTCTATGGGCTTCCATACTTTCAGAAGTACTTAAACAGATTTACCTGGCCTTCATACATTCCAGTGTGTCCTGCATTCAAAGCAAAAAGAAAACGAAGCATGAAAACAACATTTTCCTCTGAGTAAAATCTTTCAACAATTACATGTTTTATTGTTTCTTTTGCTATATTCTTGTTGATTTTGTCTTAATTAAGGAATAGATGATACGAACAAAAAAAAAAAGTAAATGTCTGGATTTTGAATTGGTATATATTTTGGGCTTAATTTTATTTCAAGTTAATGATGCAAATAATAAATTTCTAAAATAAGTGTGAATGCTTACAGAACTTCTGTATATGAAAAAAAAAAACTTGTGGCCTTAAACTCGACTTTCAGGTATAGTGCAGACTTTTTCTTACTTTTTTAACAATACATTTTGTAATTCCATCTATATGTACAGTAAATATATTCCTGTGAACCCAAAATAAAGTCACCTCGGATTCTGCTGCATGTTTCATGTTTAAGATGTTCTTCTTACTGTAGTCCATAATGGACCAACTTACAACTACTTGTATATTTAATGACAAACGGGTTTCAGCGTTTCCATTTCTTTTCAATGAGCTAATATTTTGCTGTCACCTGCATATGAGGTTATGTCTTCAAACTTTTTATACTCAAGAGCATGCTCTAAAAGGGTTACTAAAATAAAGATTGATTGAATAAAAATGTGAAAAACGTCTTTTAAAGTCAGCAATTTTATGACTTTGTTATCAAACATAGTCTATCAATAAATCTTATTTTGGTTCAAGTTTGCCATACCAATTATTGATTATTTTATTATTATTTAATTATTTAACACTATAAATATGGCTACGGAATATACTTTTTTTTATCAAAAATAGGGCTCACGATGGATGTGATTGGTTAACAGGGGATATTTACTCCTCCAAGACATCTGAATCCACCTCTGAAAATCCCAAACGCCCCTATTTGATGCCCTGTTCAGAGATCTGTTTTAATTTTTTTTTTAATCCGTCAATATACGTAAACTTCACCTTTTCCTCAGAGATTAGTATGAAATATATTTTTAAACACGAGTATTTTTTAAAAACAAATCTCTTTTTATTCAAATATGTTTTATTTGATTTATTTATCAAAATATAAAAATGTACAAAATAGCATAAAAATATGTTTATAAAAAAAAGAATAAAGAGAACAAAGTCAAAGAATCATTAAAATCATAAATACACAAAACACAAAATGAAATAAAAACATTTGGATTTACAAACACTGGTATGCAATGCAAACATCATGGCAAGTTTTCATCAAATTGTACATCCTAATTCACACATTACAGGTTATAAATGGAAATATTCTTCTCTATTTCCACACTAAGGAAAACGTTTATTTATCATCACTGGAATTCGAATCTTTGCTTTCACTTTTACTACTTCTGTCTCGTTTTCTTTTTATTTTGTGATGTGTTTTATGTTTACTTTTTCTGCTTTTTACCATTTCAGAGGAATCTCCACTGCTTTTTGAGGATTTCGAAGTGTATGTGTCAACTTGTTTGTTTATATCAACGTTTTTGCTGTAATATATCTTTCTTCTGAATTTTGATTTCTTCTTGTTTCTTCGTTCTACTTTAATTGCTGACTCGTTGCTACTTGTGGATGATGATAAGATTTTTGATTCATAATCCACACTAATGTCGGAGTCTTTGCTTTCACTGCTGCTAAATTTGATATATGATTTTAATTGTGCTCCATACCTGTTTTTGTGACCTTTAATAGTTTTTGAGATGCCAAAATTCTCTTTTGACTTGCTGTCTTCTTCACTTGTACTTCCACTTATGCTTTTGCTTTTGCCAAGTCTTTGCTTTTTCAAGAAAACCTTTTTATTTTTCCTGTTTATTTTCTTGCCATATCTTGCTGGTAAATACTTTCTATTTTTTGTCTCTTCCTTCCTTTTTGATTGTTCCTTTCTTTCATATTCTTGACTTTCGGAAGATTCTCTTGATTTACTAACACTTTTACCGCTGTTATCGCTTTGATTTTCTTGACTTTCGGATGATTCTTGACTCTTGGATGTTTCTTGACTTTCGGAACTTTCTTGACTTTCGGAACTTTCTTCTTCAGTTTCGGAAGTTTCTTGACTTTCGAACGTTTCTGTTGACTTGACAATTTTTCTCCTGTAATCACTGTATGTTTTCTTTATCTTTCTTACAATTCTTCTGCAACATGGATTTCCTTTCAAGCACATCCCTCTCAGTTTCTCCCATATCCCAATAAAAGAATTCATGGCAAACTTTTTCTCATTTATATCAGTTGAATCACAGAATTTTGCAAAATACTTTACTAAGTCTTTCTTTTTAACAGCAAATAATGTTTGAACTGGTCCAAGGCAATCAATTACTGCTTCAAAAATAGTATCCTGAATTTTCTCAACGTCTATGGATCTAGTTTTCAGCAATTTGACGAGTCTTTCAAAATACATTACATTCTGTTTACCTTTGAGTTTCCACAACCAGTATTTGACTTTGTCCGCAAACATTTTCTCCTTGTTTGTCCATTCTCTGACTAATGGTTTACCACTAGTATGGTACTCATGTGAAGAAATCTTTGCCTTACTTTTCAAACTCTTAAGCTTGATAGACTTTTCAAAAACTTTCTTATTTTGAGCGGCGTTGTCCCCTTTTTGGAGATAATGTAGATTATGGTATATTGGAGGTATTGTTGCATATCTAGTTTTTTCGTCATACCTCGGTGGTTCGGGTGTATTTTCGTATGTTGGGATTCTAGTAGTATATTGTATTTGGTCATAAACATTTGGAGCAATTATGTAATCAGCTTCATATTTCACCTTGTTAGATTTTGTTGGTGTCCTGGGTGAATCATATTTCACGTAGTCATGTGTTGGTGGTTCTGTCGTTAGGTAATATTTCCCGTAGTCATATTTTGGTGGTTCGGTTGTTAGATCATATTTCCCGTAGTCATATTTTGGTGGTTCGGTCGTTGGTTCATTTTTCCCGTAGTCATATTTTGGAGGTTCTGTTACTGGTTCATATTTCCCGTAGTCATGTTTTGGTGGTTCTGTCGTTACTTCATATTTCTTGTAGTCATATTTTGGTGGTTCTGTCGTTAGATCATATTTCCCGTAGTCATATTTTGGTGGTTCTGTCGTTGCTTTATATATCTGGTAGTCATATTTTGGTGGTTCTGTCGTTACTTCATATTTCTTGTGGTCATATTTTGGTGGTTCCCGTAATCATGTTTTGGTGGCTTTGTAACAGGTTCATATTTCCCGTAGTCATATTTTGGTGGTTCTGTCGTTACTTCATATTTTTTGTAGTCATATTTTGGTGGTGTTGTAGTGGGTTCATATTTCACCTTGTATTGTTTTGGTGGTTCTGTAGTTGGTTCATATTTCCCATAGTCAGGTTTTGGTGACTCTGTAATTGGTTCATATTTTATGTTGCCATTTCTTGTAGTCGTATTTTGGTGGCTCTGTAACTGGTTCATATTTCCCGTAGTCATGCTTTGGTGGCTCTGTAACTGGTTCATATTTCCCGTAGTCATGCTTTGGTGGCTCTATAACTGGTTCATATTTCCCGTAGTCATGTTTTGGTGGTTCTGTCGTTGGATTATATTTCCCGTAGTCATGTTTTGGTGGTTTTGTAACTGGTTCATATTTCCCGTAGTCATGTTTTGGTGGCTCTGTAACTGGTTCATATTTCCTGTAGTCATGTTTGGGTGGCTCTGTAACTGGCTCATATTTCCCGTAGTCATGTTTTGGTGGTTCTGTAATTGGTTCATATTTTATGTTGCCATATATTGGAGGTGTTGTAGTGGGTTCATATTTCACATCGTATTGTTTTGGTGGTTCTGTCGTTGCTTTATATTTCCCGTAGTCATGTTTTGGTGGCTCTGTAACTGGTTCATATTTCCTATTGTCATATTTTGGTGGTTCTGTCGTAGGTTCATATTTCCCATATTCATGTTTTGGTGGTTCATATTTCCCGTAATCATGGTTTGGTGGTTCTGTCGTTAGATCATATATTATGTTGCCATCTATTGGAGGTGTCGTAGTGGGTTCATATTTTCCGTAGTCATGTTTTGGTGGTGCCATTGTGGGTTTATATTTCTCGAAGTCATGTTTTGGTGGTTTCACTGTGGGTTTATACTTAACGTTATCATACCTGGCTGGTATTGCCGTTGTATGTTTGTATTTTGTTGGCGCCATCTTTTGATCATGGCCATTATTAAATGGAATTTCTCCTGATTTATACGCAGTCGAAATGTAAGGCGGCTGGACGTTTTTGCCATAAAGGATATTCTTGTCACTTTGTGATTTGGAATACTGTTTTGACAAACCACTTATCTCAGTAGCATCTACAAGGGAGGGATAATTTATATTTGAGTTAAGACCATTTTCATATTGGTCAATTCTGGAATATTCATTGTGCTGAAAGTTTAGATTATTTCTATCTAGCTGTGTTGTATCCAGTGGATTTACATCGTAGTTAAAATAGTCCAGGTCCGTTTTAACATTGTTTATAGTTTCACTGACAGATGACAATAGCTGGTCGAAATCTAAATGTGGTGAATTCAGGTCGTTTACAAATTGTTCACTTTGGTGGTCTACATTATGGTATACTTGTGGTACTGGTTTGTTTTTCCTCACGAATGTAGGAGATTTCAAGTGGTTCACCAATGGATTACGATGGTGTCGGCCATTATAATGCTCAAGTGGCATTGAATTCTTTTTCCAGATGAGTTCAGCGTCATTTAGAGTGTGTATTTTCGGAGTCTCTCGGAAGTCTAGTATTTGATTACTCGGTGGATACTGCACTGGATGGACAATCACTCGTGCATGGGCAGTACTCACATAAAAAACCTGGAAAATTAAAATTTGGGCTTAAACGCAATTCTTCCGAAAGAATAATGTTTGTATACACTATAGTATAGTTTGTTTATTTGATCATCGAACAAAAGGAAACATTTTAATAAAAAAGTTATGCACCTGATTAAGAGCGTATATTTTTAATATGTATAAAATTTTTGTTTTACTTTAAAACGTTGTAAAATTACTTTTTAGAAGAGGTGCCTTTTCATTGCAGAGTGTCAATTAAGATGGTTTTTAGTATATTCAATTAATACTTAAATATGCCTGACCAAATACAACACATCAAGATAAATAAAAATAATACTTACCACGGTGATCAAAGTTAGTAATCTCATGTTTGTACAGGTGTTTCTCTATGTTTTCTTCTTCTTAAGACGCCTGCTTTTATACGTGTGACTTACGGATTCACCTAACACTTCCGTAAATAATTAACATATTAATTAAAATCAGATAGTTTGTTATTTTGTGTTAAGTTTATGACTCCTAAAATGATAAATTGATTATTTTCAGGATGTGATCAGAAGCTAATCTGTCTGCAGCATTTACCTGAATTCCGTTTATTTTTAGATTTATGAAGTTTTTAGGAAGTGACGATATAATTCATATTGACTTTAAATAAATTCCTGCATATATTTCACCATGTGTTATGAATAATTAATAGTGAAGAACAATCAATAGGCTCATCTATCTGCTTATTAAAAAAAAATATATATATGTATTTATCTACATGTCAAATGAAATAATTATAAACATTGAAGGGGAAAATCAGATGTATAATTATTTCATACATCTGATTTCCCCTTTCAATGTCAAAATGACGATTTTATATAGTTAAAACAAAAATACTACATTTAAGGTAAATCTCTGAAATAATGTATACTTAATCCATAAGTTCGTTCTGTGCACATGCATTATTTTGAACAAAACAATTTTTCATTCACTGTTTAAACCATTTTTTTTTGTTGTAAGTATATTTCAAACAATTTAAAGAACAATATAGTTTTGAATTTTTTACTAAAAGTAAATTAAAAATTGTTTCGAGAAGTAGTGTAAAACAGAGTAGATACTTAAAAAGTCCAAGAAACTTTTGGAAAATTTGAAATCATGAAATTTTGCCATGATCAACAGCATACCCGGTATGAAACTTACGATTTTTCAGCTTCAAAATACAACTATTCCAGACTTTTTTATATCAATGACAGCAGCTTTTTCAATAAAAATTGAACTCTTAAAACTTACCTTGTTAATGGTCATTTGTAGAATTATTTTGTTACAATACATTCTGATTGTACACGCATGTACTCTGAAATTGATATTTAATAGATGTTAGAGTTTCTCATTGACAATATCTTTATGGTTTTTGGAGATCATATCTTCCAATACCTATTAGAATTTCCTTGGGTACCATTTGCACCCTATTTTTAGCAGACCTATATTTTTGTATCCATATGAAGCAGAATTTGTCCAAATTCTTGTACGTAAAAAGAAGAAAACACTTGTGGTCTTCAAATCGACATTAAGATACTTCGACGACGTATTCATGGTATTGTTAATTTACAATGGTCATTTCCATTCTTATGCGGATAATGAACTTGAAATAAAAGATACAATGGTCACATTTTAATACTCTTAAAAATGTGGTTATAATTATGATCAACTTGATAACTTTTACTTTTCAATCATCAGCTTCCTTTACTTATATATTCAACAATATATCTTCATCACCTGCATACAGAGTTTATAAATCTAACACACAAGAGCATCTGTTAATATTTAGATATTTTACTTGAAAAATGACGTTAATGGTTATGTAACTAACAAAGCTTTGAGATCAAGTTGATGACTTTTACTTTTCATTTTCGCTTTAGATAAAAGTTTGAGTTTGTCATTTGAATTTGGATTTTAGTTCTTATTATATGCACACATTAAATTGTAGACGGATTTTTCTGTTATTTCCCGGCGGGGTGGTCGGTTGGGAAGGGATGCTCACTCCTGCATCACACTTGATCCCACCTCTTATTTTTGGAGGTCCTTGTTTGCTCTACTCCAATTTGGAATAGCTTTATGGACTTTTGAACTTGAACCCTGTTCGTAATCTCCATATTTTTTATTTTTTATCCGTTCCAAAATCCACAATTATAAAGCTACGTATATAAAATAATGGAGAGATAAATTCAAAATTCGAAATTCATTTCATCTGAAGTAAAAGAACAATACTAAATCTAAACATTTTAGAATTTTATTTCAGTTTACCACAATTTATAAGAGCTATGGCTTTAACATTATAAATTGTATAAATGCTATTATAATAAATAACTCAGTTCTGGCCATATGCTCCGTGACCCCCTTTTTGCATTTTTAAACATTTGATAGTATTGATAAATATCAAAATATATTCCAAATTTTTTACTCAATTTGAATCTTTTGTTAAAATATGTGTACTAAATTTGGTTGTAATATGACGTAAATTTTAAAAAAAAGTTATGTATGTATATGAATTATAATAATTCTAAGGGTTTGATTCGGGATTTCTTTTCCAAGAACACTTACGATTCCAATCATTGGTCGTCAACGTTTTGATCGATTACATTGATAAAAATGATTTGTATTTGTGTCTTCAAGGTAATTACATATCAAAATATAATAATTCATCAAAATCGTTCGAAAATACAACAAACAGACTAATAAAAAATGTTAATTTCCAGTTTCATTTAAATTACAAGCTTCTATGACGGCATTCCAAAAGTCAATTTCCCAAAAATTCCTCATGTTTTTCTTATATAAATAATCTTTTCGTGGCAATCAAAAATAGATTGTGTACAAATAAATACGAATTGAGATTGTACATGTATCTGAGACATTATAGAGACTTATTTTATAATATTCCGGTTGAGCATTTGGCGTAACCATAATAATTATTGACAGATTTTCGCTCTTAAATGGAATGTTGTTCTTTCTGTTCCTACCTTGTTTGCTTACACAATGCCAAGCTAATTACACCATAATTAGTGCAAATCAGACAAGACTTTATACATACTGGAGTAATTGTCTCATTATTTTGTGAATTATCTAGACTTTCTTTCTTAATTTCTACATCCTTGCATAATATCCGTGCCAGAGAGCTGTCATTTGTTGTTTGGATTCATGCTATTATCCTATCCAATCAATAAAAAAAAAGATGTTTGTGAAACACTGCTGATGTCCTCATATATCAGATTCTGGCGTAGGTTGAAGTTTCTCGAATGTAGGTCAAACTCCAAGGTCAAAGTCAAAGGTCAAAATTATTGATATGAAGAGGAAGGTCTACACACATGAAAGCCCTAATTACTTACTGTTCAAAAGTTATGGCCAAAGTTAAAGGTTTTTACAAAGTGGGTCAAACTCTAAGGTTAAGGTCAAAAGGTCACAAATATTTTACACTAATTGAAAGGTGTTGCCACAATGAATACACATGTAAAGTACGAAAGCTCTAAAATCACTGTTCAAAAGTTGTTAATGCCCAAGGTAAAAGTGTAGTTTTTTATTGTAAAAGTAGGTCAGACTCCAAGATCAAGGTCAAGAGGTTAAATTTGGTGGTACCAAAAGAAAGGTCTTGTCTTGTCACAAGAAATACACATGTGAAATATGAAGGTCATAGCCTCATCCACCCATAAGTTATGGGAAAGGTTAAAGTTTTTGCGGACAAACAGACAGCTAGACAAACAGACGAAAAGGCATAGGCCGAAATTAATAAGCTTTGCCACAACTGAAGCGTCAGAATTCAAACACAAACCAAAACTACGGCATGAACTTATATACCTCCGGTTGAAAAACGGCAGGGTACACAAGGTGTATTCTTGTAACAAGACCATTCTTTTGGGTACCAAGACTTTTGACCTTTTGACCTTGACCTTTGGAGTTTGTATTTGAAAAAATCCAACCCTCGACATAAACTGCCATGCTACGAGGGCATCAGTGTTCCACAAACACATCTTGTTATATACATGTAGATATCCATATATTTTTTTTTTCTAAAATCGACATAAATCCTGCTGTTCTCTACCTGTCCTCCCTATCAGCTATCAGTAGGTGTATTGCATGCAAACATTATTTAAATAAGAATTAAGCTCTAATAAGCCTAATGAGTTCGCTTATCAAGACCATTTTCTTCTTCGCGCGATGATCTTTGCAAGGATAAGAAATTCCTCAAAAATGCTTGAAAATCGTACGGAAGACAGTGCTTTAGGATTCACATCCAGGGGCACTAAATTTGCTCTGGGAATTTCCACCTTAGCAGTCTCACCCGTGGTGGTGGTGGGGAATTTGATGGTGGTTTTTGCTATGGTGATGTATAAACGTCGACTTAACACCCCGACCAACATTTTGATCGTCTCTCTCGCCTTGGCTGATTTGTCTGTTGGAATAACAACGTTGCCCATGTACGCCTTCCATTACTTCTCACCGGAAGTATTCGTGCGGTACAAATATCTCTGCATCCTTAAATATTCCTCCATCTTGTTCTCTATGAGTTCTTCGATGTATAATTTGACGGCGATCGCAGTAGATCGTTATATTGCTATCCTGTACCCTCTGAAATACACCCAATGGATAACCTCGTCAACAGCTAAGAAGACTGCCATTGGAACTTTCGTTTATAACCTTCTGATAATGTGCATACCATATATTTGGCACAATGATAAGGTTCTCTCGAAAGAGTGTGACTTTTTTAAAGGTTTGCCAAAGATATACACAATCTTTGTTTCCTTCGGAACCATATTTATTCTTCTTACTGTCTGTTCTATCTTGTACGCAAGAGTTTTCCAAGTTATCATTCGAAACCGGAAGAAGAATTTCGAAAGGAAATCCAGACTCACCAACATGAGAAAGACTCAGCTTAGAAAAGAAACCAAGTCGGCAACAGCTATGGGATTTGTCTTGTTCCTGTTCTTTGCATTCTGGTTTCCGTTCCTGATTTGCGGGCCCCTGAGATACACGAATTTGAACCCCAAGCTTGTTGAGTTGATAAAGAGCATAAGCGTGCTTATTGCTCAGAGTAACTCAGCAATTAATCCCATTATCTACTGCTGGCTCAAACCCGACTTCGCCTGGGCCTTCAAGAATATGATCTCTCGATGCTGTATCCAAGGAAACAGGGAGAGTCCTCAAAATATACTGACGAGAAATAAAGCTACATACTTGAACAAGATTGCTGCAACGCATTCTTCCTCTGGTAATACATCAATCCACATTATCAGTAAGCTAAGTTATCGTAAAACACAGGAAAAGAATTCAATTTCGTGTCATCGTAATGAAAATATAGAAATGAACTTTTAAAGCTGAACACGTTTTCAGCTTTAACAATATTGGTCGTAGTTCTGTATGTTTAAAATGTACTTTACGTCATGTACTAACAATTAGCGGATGTACATGTTTCAAACTATTAATCTGCTTACAGTATGTATGATAAATTTACATGATTTTACTACTGACAAAATTTGTGACGTTGTTGAAGTATGTAAGATAAATTTACATGACTTTACTATTGACAAAATTTGTGACGTTGTTGAAGTGAGTAACTCTGTTCATTTTAAGTTATTTCTGTGTAAACATTTTTATATATTAAAGAAATTGTCTTAAAAGTAATGCTATACTGTACATCCTTTGCCTTTTGAAACAATTGACCTGAAACTTTTTTTCTTTCAGTTTTTTAGTTCAATTGAGCCTAAGGCTCAAGTGAGCTTTCCTGGTCTAAATTTTTCCGTTGTCTGTCGCCGTTCTCATTGTAAACTTTTTACAGTTTCTCTTCTTCTCCAGAGCTACTGGGTCGATTTCAACCTAACGAACTTGGCTCAATGGGATTCAAATTTGTTCAAATGAATGGCCAAGCCCTCCTGCAAGGAGCGATGATTACGAAATAGAGAAAAACAAATAGCGCAAGCATCATTGAAAAATCTTCTTCTCAAGAATCAATGGGCCAGGAAATATGAAACTCATACAAATCACTGTCAGGTAGTGAAGATTTAAGTTAGTTCAAATCATGACAACAAGGCGTAGGGTAGAGTCACAAGGGACGATCAAAGTTCAACATAGGAATATAGTAAAAAATCTTCAAACTCTTAATTTTTCCCAAGAACAGCAAAGCTATGATTGGTCATATTTAAATGTCAGGTGGTGTAGATTCATTTTTTTTTTTTTCAAATCATGACCACCGAGGGTAGGGTTTGGCCATAATTATCGATCAAAGTTTTACATTGGAATATATAGGAAATCATGTACAGTTAGTCAAAAAATATGTAAGCATCCTTAGATAATTTAGATGCAATTTTGCTCAAATCATACCCCCTCCTTTCTAGGATAGTTCGGGGATCACTTATGCATATGATCTTTTTAAATACTACACAATTTTTTTTGCTATTTTCCTAGCCACCGTGATCAAGTGAACGATGTGGCCCCTGTGCCTCTTTTATGGTGGTTATATTTTTTCAAGGAATACCACGGTAATTAAATATTAATCTCGAAAATCTCCTTGTCCTGTATACATGTACGTCAATAATACATGTTGCATATTTGAGATGGTTGCAAGAGCATATAAAACGATTCAAACTTCACAGTGATACTGTTATTCACAAATACCCAAAATAGATTCTCAGAAAGACATCTTGTCAGTCATCTATGTGCACAAGAATGTGTCTCACGAGGTTTTGTCTAAACCTTATTATATTAGATTTATTAATCAAGTTCATTTAAAAAGAAGCAGAAAGTATTTGAGTTATATGTAAAGTCAACACGGACCACTGAAACCAGAGATTAGATCAGGTGACATGGAGGAGTAAACATCCTTTGTCGATCGGTCGCACCCGCTGGATACTTTTTGTCATCATTGGGTAAAGGTAAAATATTTGCTGACAATTCAAGACGATTATAATTAATGACCTAAAATGTGTATAATAAACCTCAATCTACAGTTCATCTATTGACAGATTGTATATGCTAACAAAGCCACACAAATGTTGACCTTAAACGGGGTTGTAGATATCCCTGTGTCATTGACTGATTTGTCAATAGCCTTAGTCTTGGAACCTGTTCAAAACTTGTGTGACCCTTAAAAGGAGAGACATAAATGATATATGCAGTTAAAGATGTGATTTTGCTTCATAAAGTAAAGAAATTTGACGATAGAAAAGTGATCTGACATATTTATCATTTTAGTTGAATAGTCGTTTTTTCTTTCAGTGTTGTTGCGACGTACATCTAAAAACAGTTAGCAAAATATTACAAGTTATTAAATATTTTTAACAATATAATTATTGTTCTTTCAACCCCCCTCCTCCCCCCACCCCCACCCCACCCCCCATCCCCAAAAAAACAAAAAAACTAACATTTCCTTGGCCTGCTCATGTATTTACAGTTAGAGCATTTATTTACAAAAATACAGAAAAAAATCTCGATGTTGTGTGAATCATTTGAAGTGCTGGTTTAATTCAGTTATTTTATTTTATTGATGTGTATATTAGACACAACTAGTTGCACAAATCGATTTTTCAATTTTTTTCATGCATACATTTATGTTGTACCGTCTTTGAAACCTGACCAAAGAACGATAACTCTTATAACACTCATGGGTGCAAGATGTTACCCCGTTTTCACGACGAGACTAGCGATAAGACGTTTTGCGGCAAGACGTTTCGGGAAGTTAAATTTTTCGTTTTCAATAAATACTGAAATAAATAACATATTTAGCTAAAATTATTTATTTATTTATTTTATTAATGTATCATTAGATAAATATATGGACAGACATTAAACTTTATAAAATAATTTTTTTTTATAATTTAATCGCCATAGATACGTTTTCTCTTTAATAAAAAGATTTTTTTTCGGGATCTCAACAAATTATTTTATTATGGTGATATAGCATATTATTCTAAGTACACAGAGTACGTAATATTTAATTTCTATGTATATATAGAAAATAAAAATTTTCATAAAAATATACTTTGATGGGGTTTTTTTCATAACAGACGAATAAGAATAAATCTTTACAATATTTGTATTGATTTCACATCAATTTTTTTAAATTAGTTTTTTTTTCTTGTGTGTGTAGTGTAAAATTTAATCAGAGATATATATTTTAAAATATTCAAGTGATCTCCAGCTACCGTCGAATATATCTTTAAAAATATGTCATGAATTGTTAAAACAACAACTGGACCAGGTACACATATCCCATAGGGAAGTGTTACGTACATGTATAAAGACGCCGCCGGTAATGGGGACTGAAAAGATTGTGTGGTTTCTATTGAAATTATTTTAAGAAAATAAAAATCTGCAAAAAAAATATCGTTTGTTTATTGGTAAATGAAATAATTACAAATCAGACAATATTTATATAATAGTAATAATTTTCCCATCATCAAAAGTTCAATAAAATATAAAGGTTTTCAAAATGTTTTGATTGATTTTCTCTATTTTTTTCCCAAACAGTTTCAAATTTTTTTTTTTCAAAAAGTTTTAAACTATTATTCCTCCTCTGGAAATGTTATTTTTAAAGTTTCCAAAACATTGTAAATAAACATATTTTACAAATATTGCGAGAATATTTTCCCTACATGTAGATTTTTAAAAAATACCATACTTTTAAAAAAAGAATACAAAAATAAAATGGTATAAACAATATGATTTCATTTGATATCGTTTGAAATAATTTCTTTAAAAATATTCTAAATTTCATCATAACTTTATCTATTTAATGTGGCTAGGTGGAAATTTAATAAAAAATCAAATTTAATGTTACATGTGTTTTTATCTGGAATGTCTTTTAAACACTTTTACAACGTACATGTAAAATGAAAAATTAAATATTTGCAAATTAAACTAGAGGTACTGTGAGTAATGAGCTCACTAAATGATACCCCCCGCCTCCCATATGAATATATTGGCAGTATCCATGTTTTGCTCTGGAAAATCCAAAATATATTTTAAAATAGGAGGTGCACAAAATATGTAATTTCTGTGAAAGTTTCATTAAATTTCCTTCAATGAGAGGAGTTGCACATCAGTTGTATCTTTCTTTATACCCTCCCGCTTTTCAAGCGGGGGGTAACTTTTTTTTATTTACAGTATCATTTAAACAGTGTGTCATGTACCTAATTATGTAACATCACATCTATTACGCACTGGTCAATATACGAAGATCGATAATTAAATTGAGATTTGTAGTCTGTGTATACACAGTAAACATAACAACTACCCGTAAAACGTAAAGTTTTTACTGCACATGTGCTAGCTTGAGCCTTTGTTAATTCTGTAAACAAATATGAAATCAAACACTTAAAATTGTTATTAAAATGGAGAGAAAGAAAGTCTTGGAAGTAAAAACACGTCCGTGGTCTTCGCACAGCAGTTACGACTGTCTCCACTCTCCAGGTTTTAATTCTGCAAACTCTCGTATCAAACACTATAAATAAATCAATACATAGTCTAATTCTATAATATATTTTTTGAATTAAATTTGGCGAACCAAATACTTTATAAAGGTAATATATCATGTATATCAAATGCTGTAATAATCAACATTGCGGGCGGTTGTTTTCTCGGCAGGCGTGCTCCATGCCGCATGCAAACTTATTCAATCTGTGCAATTAAATGATAAATTGTGTATAAAACTGAGAAATTATACATATATAAACATAAAAACAAAAGTTAACAAGTTTTATTTCATTTCCTTAACAAAATATATAGAAGTCCCGAAACATGTTAGCCCAAGTCCCGAAACGTGTTAACCCAAGTCCCGAAACGTGTTGTCAGGTCCCGAATCGTCGGGGTCCCGAAACGTCGCGGTCCCGAAACATCCAGAATTCACACTCATCATTATTACGACATTAAACCTTAAAAAATGCTTCGTGGATTTGCATAACTTGTTTTATTTTATTCAATATCCAGCATAAATATTTAACGTTGTTTACTTCAGTGCTAAAAATAGTAACTTTGTTGAATAAACAAATTTATGTTTTTTTCCTTACCAAAAACAAGTGAAACTTCCGGTAGACAGGCCCGAAAAAAGAAAGATGGCAGAGAGAAATTGCGGAAGAGAAAATTCGAAAATGAAAGTCACATGCGAAGCTCCCATGCATTATTTAGATTTAACGAAGTTTTAAGAACATGTTTCTTGTCCATTTATTTATAGGATAGGGTAAATTGATGTTTTATTTTGTTATACACACACGCTGTAAGAAGCCCACTCGATAACACCCAGTTTTTATTTGTGAAAAAATGAGTTCTGCATCAGGGCGCCATCGAGCGTCCACGCGACAGTACTCTGCTGAAGAACAAGCTTTAAACCAGATCTCAAAAGAGGTGAGTAAACTGTTATGTTAGCAACGAAGGGCTGTAGAGAATTCTACACTGATTAATATGGACTGAGCTACATGTGGGTACATTGCTCAGCTATTGTTTTACTCATGTTTATTTAGCCAGCAGTACAATATAAGCACCTCCATAAAGTACTGTGAAGAAGGACCGTTAGAAGGTCATTCTTTTAGATGTATCATAAAAAGATGTTAACCTCCTATGTGATTAACAAGTTAATATGACATAGTAAAAAACAGAACACCGGGATAGGTTTTCAAATAAAATGTAATTTGTAATGTTAGGTGTTTATGGATACTTGTTGGGTGAAAAATTAAGAGAATGTTCAATGACCATTATATTATATTGAAAGAAGTGCATATACATTATCAAGTAATTATTGCACACTAAAATATGTGATGTGTATTTTTTTTGATTAATTTTTCCTATTATTCTTTAACAGAGTTAAAACAACCATCTCCAAGGATTACTAACCATGATTTCAAAACATATTCTTTGACTATTTCTACAGAAAATCTTTTCCAGTAATCAATGCTACATGTAATAGCCCTCCTGGGCCTGAAATTGAGACTAGTTTAAAATAAAATCGCCTATATCATCATGATCATGTATATTAAGTTAATTTACAGTGATTTCAGTAGCATTATTAATTCAGCCCAGTAAGATTTGTCCACATGTGAACTATGAGAAGTCTAAGTAATCTTTTGTGTAGACAGCAGATGAGGTAAAAATTTGGAGAAGTACTGTAAACATGGTAAACAAACTTTTTTCCCTGTCATCTTTTAATATTTTGTTTTAAATCAATCCACAATGATTAAGTTTTGCAACTGAGGAAATATTCTCTAAAAATACAAAGCAAAATAAATGGTTCCTGATGATTAATATTTGCAAAGTGAAGTAGGTAATAAAATTTTTGGATATTTGTAGCACATGAATAACAGTTCATTTATAGTAAATCCAGAAAAACTAGGCACACCTTCTCGTGCAAAATATATATACTTTTTTTATGTGAATCACCTGGTGACACTATAGGTCTCTGGTCGCTAAATTTTTTTGGAAGGGTGGGGGAATAATCTACAGTTCTACAGCTAGAGTACATTTTACATTTATGATTGCAAGCTTCGTTTCAAAACTTTTTAGAAAAAACAAGTGTCTTTCACTATTGTGTATTTTGGACTCTGACATTCTTTAATGTTTTACTACATGTAAGTTTTAATAGCTTACATTCCAAAGTTTTGCATAACCTTTTGGAAAACAAGAGGATGGTGATACTGAGTATCATTAATGTTTCACAAATCGTCTGTTCTTAAAATTCAGTTTAGGAAATATGGTCCCTTTTATTAATACATTTAGTTGTTGTTCTGCTTGTCAGTGCAAGCTAAGCAAAAATGCCTGGGCAAAGAGAAAATTCAGAATAATGCACATTCATTCAATAGAATTTTCTTTGCATTATTAAAAATGTGTGTGAAGCTTTTTCGCTAACAAGTTTAGATCTATAAACTGCCTTGATTTATTGTACCGTATATACTGCCTATAGCGGTCCACCTATAAGTCGGTTGTAAAATTTGGAAGGGATTTGCCATTGACCCGCTTATAAGTCGGTACCATTTTTCGCAAGAGAACAATTTCTATATATATGCTATGATGTTTTACCCTAATTTTTAATTAATTTTTTAAGAAATGAAGTTTAACTTTAAATCATAAAAGATAAATACTGCCCTCTTAAGATTAAAACTGATATATATTATGTATAATCTTATAATACATAAATAATATAATGTATCCATACTTTGTTCAACGATAGCTGTTGTGATTATAGAATACCTGATTTGCCGACTAGAAAAATACAACTCGCCTATAAGTCGGACATAGCCTTTTGAACTAAAATTTAACTCCCAAAATACCGACTTATAGGCGAGTATATACGGTATATTGCAGATTTTCTGATTAATAGCAAATAAAATGTTCTTAGTTAAAACCAGCAACTGTCCAGGCTTCAGTTTGGTAATAAACTTAGGTATGAGGCCAACAATCAAAAGACGATTTGTTCGATGTACTCCAACGGACCTGTCAAAATCGCCCCTACCCAATCTTTTTTCCCGGTCTGAAAATTTTTATTCTTTTAAAGTTCTTGAAGAAGCTTTTCCAATAAATATGAAAGTATCGGTAATTTCTATGTTTGCAAGATTTTTGTGACAATTTGTCAGACAGGAGATTCCGAAATAAAAGCTTTCTTATTCACCACTGACTATGAGTCAGAGTACATCAAGAAAAAATTTAAATGATGGCTTGACTTCAATTGTAAGTTTTTGTAACGTAAGACTGTAGAGGTACCAAATGTCAGGTGTATTTTGAAGAGAAGGGTCTAAATACACTGAAAAGGGAATCTGTGCATTCTGTGCCTGCCCTAACGTTTCTGCCATCAGCATATTATTTTAGATTGTGATGCCACATTTGTCTTTTAAAAGGGAATGTTTCAATTTCAGTAATTTTCAATCCTTAGATTTTACATGCTTTAATATGTTTAAGGTAAAAACTTTAACTGAAAGGAACAGGGAAGTTAAAAAGTTAAAAGCATTAAGCATGGAAAAGTGAAGAGGATTGAGTATAAATAAAAAAACAACACTTTTTTAACATGTATTGACAGTTTGGGCAAACATAGAACGATACACAGAAATTGCTTTGTAAATGTGCTTTGTCTCTCCTAATTGAGATCTTACGGAAAATTATTTTTGATTTTAATTCATTAGCTATTTTTTCCTTTCTGTTGAACAAATTGATGTCTCTATCTTATGTTCATGTATTTTGTCTTACATGTCTTATATATAAATAACTCGGTGTTTCCAGAAAAAGAAATTGTAAACAATTGTGAGTGAGTTTTTCAGGTTAGTGATATAATGTAACTGTGTCGTTCTAACCAAGTTCCCAGTGCTAATTGTAATGAATGTCTAGTCAAACAACTGTCTGTTGATGAACTTGTAGCTAGCATAAACATAAGTTCTCAACCTGCTGATGCTTTAACAGAAAATGGACAATATATAAAGTGTTCATAGTCCCAGATGGCTCCATGATACTCTAACTTATAATACATTGTTTAAACAGATGATCAGGAGGGGGGGATTGCTCTGCAGGTTTAATCAATATCAGAGATTTTATTGTTAGATTATTTCATGCGTGGAAATTCTTCTTTTTCTAATTCATCATGTGCAGGATGTAGTGGGAGTTATATTGCTGGAAAAGATAAAATTGACATTGAATGAATATATTCTTATGTGTCATAGTGTTATATATCATTCATATGCAAGAATAGTAGCCCTCCTCCTTTATCTTTTTCTTTGGCACCCAACAAGAAGTCAATCATAATAATTGATCTGGCAATGCAATTTGTAGTTCATTTATTCAGTGAATTTTGTCACAAGCCCTGCTGTTTGCTGGGAGTATATACTTGTATTTGAAAATCTTAAATCTTAATGAACAGTGAGTGATTGACTTATAATTGGACTCTGATTATCAACAAAGAACATGTACTGCCTTGGATAATGTACAGTTTATTGATACAATGTTCTGGTATAAGACAAACATATATATAAACAGGCACACTTTGGGCATAGCCCTTTAGTACAGTATAATGTCAATAATGAGAGGCCTGGTGTGGCCAACTTTATCACAAGTAAACACACCTGCATTTAGCTTATCATAGCTGTATGCAATTATTTCATTCAGCGAAACTAATAGTCTTACTAATAAATAATAAATTGTTTGGTGGATCTAGGTTTTTCATCAGCAAAATTATTTTGATTTTATCCAAGGAACAGTACATAGATAGGTGTATCTAAGATTGAAGCAGTATATAATTATTATACATGATCTCAAGTGCCTTAATTGATTTATTTAGGTAGCTTGTTGACATGGATAGGTGGATCTAAGGTTTTAATTTGCCATGTTAAAGTCAAGTGCACTTGATATATGGTTCAAAGTAATAAATATATTGCTGGGTTGATTTAGAAAATTTCTTGTATCTTAAAATGCTTAAGAATGTTGAAAGATATTGTATAAGTGCTCAACAAACATTAAAAAGGCTGATTCATACATGAGCATCATTAATTGAGGAAGCTAGTTTCTTGATGAATTTGTGTAAAAGTATAACTATAAATTAATGTTGAAAAAGTTTTGAATTTTTTTTCCTGTCCTGTCAATTCAAAGGTTGAACTGGAGTACGTTATTGGTCCTTGTCTGTGTGTCTCTCTGATCAGAACTGATCGGATTCTGTCTGCATGGGTGCCATCAGGGAAAAGAACATTCAAAATCTTCTCAATGTGTCATCAATGGTGGTTAATTGATGGGGAAATATCCTTGTTAAAGACAAAATTAGACCATGCAATCACTTTTGCTCAACCTCACTCCTCAAACCCTTTGACATCTCATTATTTTTAGCTCTAAAATGGTCAGAGACACTTTAAGGATAAAGAAGTTTTTCAATAGTATTAATATAGTTCATTACGGTACCTCAAATATTTGTAATTCTGAAGAATCAATTGAAGGTTGGATATTTTCTTTCAACACTTTGCACACAATTGACCTTCACCAAGATACATAATGTTGTGCATCGGTAATTTGATTTTACTGTAGAATAAAGTTCTTTACTAAAAATTTAAATTTCTGTGAAATTTTCTGTTGAAGGTTGGATATTTTCACTTTGAATTATTGACCTTCTTTATTCTTTGACAGGCTGAGTCCAGACTTGCTGCAAAGAGGGCTGCTCGAGCAGAGGCTCGTGAGATCCGACTCAAAGAAATTGAGCGTCAACAGAAACAGGTGAGTACAACCCAGAAAATTCACAGGCTATCAATGGAGGCTTCTGATTTTTCAGGTGATTTTAATATGTGTATTTCAGCATGTTTTAAATGGCACTTCATGGACATTTGAACTCTGATATCTCAAACACAGCTTTCTCATATATATCATATGTAGACATGATTTTTAACATTTTTTAAGTCCCAACCCTTCATAGTATTTATCCCACCATGTGCCCATTGTCATGATCAGATAAATCTTAGTAAATTGAGTATGTAAATAATTCTTTATTAAGTATTTTACTTTGGATATCTCATTTATCTCAAAAGTTTTGAGATATCTCAAAGTCCCATTATGTTCAAGATATTAGGGTTTGACTGTTTATTTATTTATTTTTTTTTTTAACAATTTTTAATGGCTACTGACAAAAGTTATTGTGTTACATTAATGTTGTTAATTAATTGTGACAAACATTAAAGAAATTGTTGTTATTAATTTCTAATCTGTTTTTTTTATACTGGCTGTTCTGCTGTTAAATTTGTTTATAGCCATAAAAGTCACAAAGAATAACTGCACATAATGTCAGCTTTTGGGTTCATTTTCAGACAAAAACAATGAAAATGGACATGTTTAGACTGATTACAAATTTAATATAATTTAGTAAAAGTTACAGATTATATATTTTTCATTCAAAAGTTTATTTTACTTCAAGTGCAGTCATCTTTTGTAATAATGTATATTTAACATGTTAAATGAATAAATTTTTTAAGTGTTTAATCATTTTCTCTGCTTTTGCATCCAAATGTTTCTAACTAATATGTGGCTGAAAAATCTTTTTAAAAGGAGGAAGAAAGACAAAAAACCCAGGATGCATCTTCAGATAGCCAGTCAAGTAGGGTAGGTATAAATAAATCCCATATAAATAAATCCCACAGTGTGTCAACAGGTAGCCAGTCAAGTAGGGTAGGTATAAATAAATCCCATATAAATAAATCCCACAGTGTGTCAACAGGTAGCCAGTCAAGTAGGGTAGGTATAAATAAATCCCATATAAATAAATCCCACGGTGTGTCAACAGGTAGCCAGTCAAGTAGGGTAGGTATAAATAAATCCCATATAAATAAATCCCACGGTGTGTCAACAGGTAGCCAGTCAAGTAGGGTAGGTATAAATAAATCCCATATAAATAAATCCCACAGTGTGTCAACAGGTAGCCAGTCAAGTAGGGTAGGTATAAATAAATCCCATATAAATAAATCCCACAGTGTGTCAACAGGTAGCCAGTCAAGTAGGGTAAGTATAAATAAATCCCACAGTGTGTCAACAGGTAGCCAGTCAAGTAGGGTAAGTATAAATAAATCCCACAGTGTGTCAACAGGTAGCCAGTCAAGTAGGGTAGGTATAAATAAATCCCACAAATTGTCAACAGGTAGCCAGTTCAGTTAGGTTAAATTTAGTATTGTTATAAAACAGCAAATATCGTACCCACTGATGAGAGTTGCTGCAGATAGATCTATAGGCCTTAGCGCATGTTAAAATATGTGACCTGATGGCTGTGATGATTTTTAAATCACATGAAAGAGTCTACGATATGATTTATAACATGTAAGAATGATTGATCATTTCAAGGGATTTCTTTGATTTCATGATTGTATTTATTTCTGGAGGGAAAAAAAACTTTCATTGAATAAGGTGATACAAATCACATCTGATGAGCCACAAATAAGTTTCACATAAATTTAGCTTAAATACAGAAAACATTATTTATTGGTCTTCATGAAATGATAAACAATAAACACTTCAAAAGTATCAGAAATACAGAGTTTGAAATAATATTTTGCCCCAATGTTTTGTTTCATTTTAATAAGATTGAATGAAGAAGCATGCATTGCTTATCAAAGCGCTACTTATTTAATGAATGGAAAACCAATAACTTTATATTTGTTACATGTTATTTACAGAGTAATTTTTATGCCCCCCGCAAACGAAGTTTGGGGGGGTATATAGGAATCACCTTGTCCGTCTGTCCATCCGTCCGTCTAGCTGTCTGTCCGTCTGTCTGTGCAATCGTGTCCGGTCCATATCTTTCTTAAATCCCATTAAATCTACTACTCCACACTAAGTGTGCTCATGACCTAAGGGTGTGTCATGACCTTGACCCAAGGTCATTTGGGGAAGTTCAAGGTCACTATAGAAAAATTTCATAATTCGGTGTGTCAACATATCTTAGCTTATTGATAAACTTGGTAGGTTCTCATTTCACACAAAGATTGCCCATGACCCAAGGGTGTGTCATGACATTGACCCAAGGTCATTTGGGAAAGTTCAAGGTCACTGGAAGAAAATTTTCAAAAATCATGTTTGATACATATCTTTCATGGATAAAATTGGTAGGTTTGTTATAAAACATTGCCCATGACTCAAGGATGTGTCAAGACCTTGACCCAAGGTCATTTTGGAAAGTTCAAGGTCACTGGAAGAAAATTTTCATAGGCCTGTCCGGTCCATATCTTTGACCTATGGAAAAACTTGGTAGGTTTTTATTTCACACAAAGATTGCCCATGACCCAAGGGTGTGTCATGACCTTGACCCAAGGTCATTTGGGGAAGTTCAAGGTCACTTGAAGAAAAATATAATTCTGTCCGGTCCATTCTTTCATGGATAAACTTGTTTTCTATTTCACACAAAGATTGCTCATGACCCAAGGGTGTGTCATGATCTTGACCCAAGGTCATTTGGGGAAGTTCAAGGTCACTGGAAGAAAAATTTCATAATTCAAGTCAGGTCCATATCTTTCTTATGGATAAACTTGGTAGGTTCTCATTTCACACAAAGATTGCCCATGACCCAAAGGTATGTCATGACCTTGACCCAAGGTCATTTAGGGAATTTCAAGGTCACTGGAATAAAAATTTCATAATTCATGTGTGATACATGTCTTTATTATGGAAAAACTTACTTCTGAAAAAAACCCAGCGGGGGGTATTTTGTCCCGTTTGGACAGTTCTAGTTTCCAATAATTCTGATGCTAAAAACAGGGGAAAAAATGGATAAACAATTATTTTTTGTATAACTTCTACATACCAGGCAATAGCAGGATAAAAAAAAAAATTCTACGAAAATTAATGTTATTTCTCAACTTTTTTCAAAATTTTTCTTTTTTTGTAAATTAGGTACGTAATGATTACAATGATTCTCGGAGAGGAAGTGACGATTCGAGCTCCGCGGCTGAAGAAATGGACACATCACGTGACCATCAGAGAGAGATGAGGGTACGTAAGTCTACGAAATTGTTTGTATTTTAGCTGTGTTTCCTCATCATTGATTGAATTTAGTGCCTGGAAAGTATGGTTACATGAGGAAAAAAAATATATTTTCTGTGTCCATTCCTACCATTGTTATTTCCCAGCTAAACTGCAATTAAAAGAAAAATTATCGACCTCTCTTCCATCAGTGAAAAAAGTGGGGAAACACAAAAAACTTCAAAATACAACAAGTTTTAATGTAGTGCAAATAACCCAATGATTTTATTTTTTTTTTATCTCAAAAAGATTTCAATTTTTTCCAATTTGAACCTCTCTGGTCTTAGTTCAAATAAGTAATGTGAGAGTCCTGCATTTGATAATGTTTCATTAACAAAAATGATATTTTCATATGTAATCAGATAAATTGCTATATCTCTCTGACACTGTTTAACTGTATTAAAAAGTTCAATAATTTTGTTCAGGTGATACTGTGCAGACATGCTTTTAGAGAATTTTTTCAATATTTATTTTTTTAAATACTAGTAAGCTTTTTTATAACTTAATCAGGTCAAGATACGAGAGATGGATGAAAAATATAAAAAGGCGATGATGATGAATGCCCAGTTAGACAACGAGAAACACAGTCTCTTGTACAAAGTGGAACTGATGAAAGATCAAATGGAAGAAATGGAGGAATCTTTTACACAGTTACAAAGGGAATACAAGGATAAGTGTAGGGTAAGCATAAAATATTACTGTTACTATGCGTCTAAACTGGGGGGAGGGGGGGGGGGGGGGGGGGCAAGGGGAGATAATATGAAATAGGATTTTTGCATTTGGACAATTTACTACTTTTTTTCAGGTTTGAATTTTTTCTCTTGCAATAAGCCCCCCCCCCCACTTTCAATTTGCTTCCGGCGCCAATGATGTCTCTTGTTTGATGCTGCATAACCAAAGCAATTCATAGAGAGGCATGCAGTTTTTACCATATATTATTTTGATAAAGTTACATATTTAATTACATCGTCTTTTATTTATTACAGGATTTAGAAATGCAAAAAAGAAATGTAAAAGATATGGAGTTTGATTATAATGTAGCAAAGGAACAGCTGGCAATAAAGGAAAAGTTAATACAGGTAATAATTAGGTCAGATGCAAAGGACAAGATAGGCTAAACCCCCTTTTTTTGCCCCTGGTTTTGTTGTAACTTTATGAAAAAAAATTCCAACAATGACCAAAAAAGTACTTTGTTATATTATTCATGCACCCTCTTTGAAAACCCTTCATTTTCTGGAACCTCATTACAGGTTAGGAATTAAAAAGACATTTGTTTATGAAACCAAGACTAACTATGTTTAATTTGTGCATTCACACCAAGTAAATTTCATTCTTTTTGGATGGTTACTCCTCCATGGCACCTGATCCCAACTCTGATGTTTTAGAGGTCCTTGTTTGCTCTGCTTGTAATATGCATTGCTTGAATGGACTTTTTATGTTCAATGCTGTTTTTTATCTCCATGTTTCATTCAGATGTTTTTTTAATTTTCTTTTAGGAAAGTGGTTTAGTTATAGCTTCTTCTGATGAGGGAGTTCTCTCCCTTGAAAAATGTCTTCCGAATGGTCAGATTCCACAAGGGGGCGGTCTCCTGATTTCATCAGATGCTGCGGAACTGCTGGAGAAAGCCGGTGTAGGCTCATTAGGTAAGAAAAATATAGGTCTTTTAGGAGTGGCAATATAATGTAAAAGCAGAAATATTCATGCGGGATTAAATTTTGTTTATTTCATTGTTAACAATTATCAAGGAAATTAAATCCTTTGCGAAATTTCTATATGACTATTTACAGAATAGGGTTACTTTAAAACAACAAAATTAAATGATCATGAAAAATGTTTGAGGGCAAATGAATGAATGTTTATCCCCATGAAAATTTGTGCTTCTACAGTATTATATTAATATTGAATAAGAGGAAATTAGGCTATCTAAATTTAATTCTCTGGTTCTCAGGCCAAATTTCTCCAAAACAGATGCGGGAGGGCGGCTTTTTATTTATCATCTTATTGGCATTAAAGTAGATGAGGGAGGTATTTTTTTAATTTTAATTTTCGAATTTTCTTTTACTTAAAGATAATTTTTTTTTAACCCAGATATACTTTCCATTTCTGGTCAAAATTTCTGCTTTATACATTGCTTATTAGCGTGTAAACATTGTAGGTAATGTCCTCGAATGTATTTTCAAACGAAGTAGCTAAAATCTCATTGCAAATGCTTGATATTTGAATACTACAGTATTAAATTAAATACTTTTTATTTTATCAAAAATACAATAAAATTAGCAATAAAAACGGACTAAATTAGAATTTCAATTTTATATGGCCTTAATTTAGTTCTTTTATTTTATTTTTCCAGATGATCGATTACGTTCCTTTTTAGAGGAAAAAACTAATTTGCTGAAAGAGGTCAGTTTGCAAAAAAACAAAATTGTCAAAATTTATTTTTAAAGCATGATAAGAGAAACTAAGATATGTATTTGAAGTTAAGGACAGTACAGAAGAAAAATGTATAAATGTAATGGTTAAAGAACCACATTATCACATCAAGCAGATATTGACAAGATATACTGTAGATATTAATGAAACTGAGAAAAAATGGAAATAGTAAGGGAATTGTGAAGTTGTATAGTTTGTATAATTTTAAAATTTTCCTTTTATAAAATAATTTAGATAAAAGGTTTAAAGGATGAATTGGAAGAAGAGAAGTCCAAAAGAGAACACAAAACATCGTCTGTACCACAGATAAATGGTCCAGAGATGCAACTGTATGAAGTTCAACGTAAGTGCGGCCAAGACTGTCAAACACTTGATTGCATTCTAGCATGCGTGAAATCTTCTGAATATGTACAGAAAAAAAAACAAAAACAACCAACTTATCTGAAATCTTGCCTATTCTAATCAAAACTTAAGTCCCTATTGGTAAATTCATTGATTAAACATGGTGTCTAACCCGAAATATTATCCAAACTGGCCAATTTCTTAGAAGCCAGTTGAGCTTGGAATAGACAAGTTTTACTAAGCATCATTTTAAAACCAGTATGGTGTGACAAGGAACTCTTTTCCATTTCTTTCAGTCAACCAGTTTGTCACATGACAAGTCAAAAATTTAATCTTGAAATTGATGTAAGACATAAAATGATCTGAGGTTTCAATGCTTTGTAAATACAAATTTATATTTATCTTATTTCTTTGTAGGAGAGGCCAGTAAACAGATACATGAATACAAATTAAAGTTACAAAAGGCTGAGCAGGACATCACTAACTTAGAGGGAACAGTATGTATTCATTGGATAAAAGTACAAAACAGTAAAGCTCATTTAGTAAAAACACAGATATTGGGAATTTACGGATGTAGTGAAGATTATTCTTGAATAAAATGAATTAAAGATCTCACAGATCCCAGTGACTTCGTTATAACCGAGTTTTACTTTATAACAGGGTACATCAGTGTTAAAATTGCAGTGTTGTCTATCCCTTCACTTACATATGTAAAGCAAGGCTGAATTTTTTTTTTACTTCATGGCTGGCTGCATTCATGCCCAAGGCAATGGGCGATTCCTGTGCATTATAGACTTATTATGAAGCTAACGGATATAACGAATTACGTTTATAATGAAGCAAAAATGCCCGTCCCTGACACTTCTTAATTATATCAAACCATGTTTTACTAGGCTATGTTACATTGTTTGTTTGCTTATTGTTTAGGTGACAAGGTTAGAGACACAAGTCAAACGTTACAGAACAGAGTCAGAGGAATCAGAAAAACTAGAAGATGAGTTAAAGACAGAGAAGAGAAAGTTACAAAGAGAGGTCTGTTTATAATGCATTGATTTGTTACAATAAACCATTATTTGCGACATCTTTTATTCACAATTCTTCAGTTTGGATTCTACCTATGTACTCAATTTTCTTGACCAAGGCAATATTCTTCATAAATACATAAGTAAAGAAATATTTGCAAGGAAAAGAAGGGCTAACATGGATATTTTCTTGCTCACAAAGAAAAGTTGGTTTACATTACTTGTAATAAAATTGTTTTTCCCCTTACCCTCATTTGTTGGACATGTTGGAGTTAGAATTCTAGTTGAAAAAAGAAAACTTGGAATTGTAAATGACCTTTTATTTTTAATTATGTGATTTACATAATAATTTTTTATGGTAACCTTCATGTGAATTTTCCTTTCAGAAATATTACCATCTTCATGTTATTAAACTTAATGTTTGCTGTTGTTTTTTCCAGCTCCGTGAAGCACAGACACGAGTTGAAGAATTGACAAACCAAAATAAACACTTACAAAATCGAATAGAAAAAATGAAACAAGCCAGAGCTTTAGCTAGCCAATAGCCCAGAGTCTGATGGTTAGGACATTTTCTTTTAATTAAGAGTGTTTCTCGTTTGCGGCTAGTCTCACACAAATACAGGACCCTCATCCACAGGGAAGTCGCGCTAGCCCGAGTTGCCTTTGCCAGAATTGTGATCTTGTTCATATAAACTCTTAACAATATTGCCCTGTGATTGGAGTGAAGAAAGAGTCTCAAAGACCTGGATTGTTTTACCTGTTGTTCCAAAGTACACTTGATCATTTATGGCCGATTCTGTTTCTCATATTCTCATCCACACCTTTTTGTGTAATCAATTTTATCACATCGTTGCTAATACCCTAAAGAATTTATTTCTATATCGTTCACTTTAAAAGTGGAAGGCTGTTAGACTTGATACTTTTTATTGTATTTTGCTTAAGTATAGACATATTCACAATAATGGTACATATTCTTAATGGGCTTGATCCTACAATATTTATAATTCTTTGATATTTATTTTCCTTTTGATATGGGTTGAGTGAAGAAAATCTGTATGCTGTTCAGTTTGTATATGTGGTAGAAAGGTAAATGCTAGACTTTTTTCCCTCCCAAGATCCTGTAAAAATTAAAGCTTTATTTTTAAAGCACCAATTAAAAAAGAAACCTTTGAATTAGAAATTTCAGTATGGATCTTGAATACTTATTAATACATAACATATTCTGACCTTAATGATCAGATTTTCTGGTGCAGTTAATTTTCTACTAATTTTACCAGAATTTCCTCTGTTCCTCTGTCTATTATAAATGAGATGCTGAATTTGTGTTTTGTCCTGTTCTGAGATTGTTTATTATGTATTGCGTAATGGATATAAATAGACACTGCTTCTTTGTGCAATAGTGCAGAGTTTTGTTTGACAATAATCTAGAAGGCAATAATCACATATATTTTAATTCTATGAAATCTAGGGTTTTCTGCCCTGTGTATTTTTAATGTTTGATAAAAAGGATCTTCCATTTTATTCCCTGCGGATTAATTTGTTAGAATATTGACAAATGATAATATAGAGAAAGCTTTTCATGAAAGTGAACATACAATGTATGTGAATTAGTGAAAGGTACATAATTCCTTGTTAAATAGTTCCCTCTAACAGTAGCCAGTGTATTAATTTCTTTAAGTAGATCATCAAGAAGTTGGAGCATACATGTTTACTGATATTTATACATGACAGTTAATTTTTAATATAAATATTGATACTACAGTATCTTGAAAATAAAACAGATTTGTCAAACAGAGATGACTGAACCACTTTAAATATTAATTTTTTTTCAAATCTGAATTGTCTCAATGTCTCCCATTTCAAGCGTTTTTTCCTCAAATCCATTTAAGTTCAAGATAATAAGGTTTGATTGTATAAGTGTATTTTTTTGAGGAAACCACTGTGTCATGAAAAGTTATTAAATTGTTAAGAAAGATTACAGGTTTACTGAACTAAGTCATATGACATCAATATTTCACATAAAACGGTGAACTTTATTAACTTGGATGGTGGTTATATGGAATTTTTTATGTGCAGTTTATAAAACAATGTATTGTACAACATATTGTTGTCAATAAAGTCTCTGCTTTTTACCAGAATTTTTAATATCGTTTTTGTGTTCAATATGAGAATTTTCAGTTGAATGAGTTTGATTCCTGTGTGTACTTTTCTAGAAAAAAGAAAAGTTCTCTGATGCTTACATGCCATAACACTTGGTTAATACAGAATGTTTTTATGTTAATAATATCTAATTCCAGTAACATTGGAATACATGAATAAAAGAAGGCTTAAAATAACCTGTCTTTCTTTTTGGATATTTAATGAACTTTGCTTTTTATTTGATATGGTTCTTTGTTCATCATGAAACTGAAATGTTGAAATTGAAATGGTTAAGTATTAGACTTGGTTTGAATACAAACTTCTAGCAAAGCGTCACAGACAAACAATTTACTTTTCCTAGCTGGAAACTCAAGTCAGCTTTCCTGATTTTGATTAGCATCTGTCTGAAAGGTCCTTCAATGCGGCTGTACACATTTCCACTTCCTGTCAGAAATCACTCGGCCAGTTTCAACCAAACTTACCACAAAGATCCTTGGGTGAAGAAGATTTTCAAATATTAACCGCCATCTGTCGACTGTCAAGCCCCCATAAGTGATCCTTTTCATCACAGGAACTTGAGACAATATTGGCAAAAATCGGGTATATACTATATAATATACCCGATTTTACTGAAGACTGTCTCTAGTTCCTGTGCTTTTCATCGTCCAAACGAAAAAAAAATCTAGAGACAATTCGGTGTGCAATTTATAATGACTGAGCAATGGCCTTAGAAATTGTATTAATTCTCCGCACCTTATAGTCTGTTCACCCTTGGTTCCACTGTATTTAATTTTGACGTGTCGTCAGGATGGTGAATTCATTATTGCAACCCAACAAACGAACAAATATTATTTGCTCATAATTTTTATTATATTTAGAATATATATATATCTACTTTATCTAGAACTGTTACAGCTACTTTTTAAAATTTTGAATGGATCTTTGGAATTTTAAGTCTACGTCAAAAGCGCATTGCAGATGTGTTATCTGGAGGAGCGAACGATAACTCTACAGGGACGATGGATTCAAAGTTGAACGTTCTTATTTTCTGTATCCTTTTGCAGTAGATGTAACCTATAAAAGCTTACACTCAGAGCACGAGATGACAATGCGTGAGTATGTTGTGCTTTTCAACTGACGTAAATTTAATTATAAAGAACATGGCAGCTGATAAGTGTTCTATGTTGGTAAATGGGTATGTATAAAGTATCCACTTTCTGTTTTACTTTGCAAGAAAATTATATGTTCACTGTACATTTTCTGTCCTTCGCCCGGATTTTTCTTACTATTTCCAATCCTTTTGGGACATATAAAAAGGTTTTTAAAAAGAAAAGAACATAAATATAATTCAATAATTCATATGATTTGTGATGGAGTTGGATAAAATAGATCTATAAAAATGAGGTGAAATAATATAGGTCACTTGTATTCAAATAGAGGTCTGTTTGTATTCTATAAATATAAAAAGTAAAGATCCTGCACTATAAAAGTTGTGAAGTATTAAATAAAGAAGACAAAAATTCCACATTTTTTTTTGGGGGGGGGGGTCAATTTGTTTCGAAGCTTGATATAAAAAAATATGATTATTTTAAAAATATATCAATATCATAATGATACATTAAAATTTTTCCACGTGTAAACGAAAATTAATCTTGAAATTACACAAAAAGAAAATTGTGTCAAGAATTTTTTTTAGCAGAAATAAAGAAATTTATTATTCATTTGAAGATAATTTTTAATTACGACAAACTTAATATGCATTTTTTTATTGTTTGCAATTTCAATGAGGTTCTACTGTACCAGTCAAAATTTTCACCAGGAAAAATAAGAAAAATTTATTGACCGGTCGACAGGAGATACTTGCTCCACCATGGCACCTGATCCCACCTCAGATGTTAACGTTTTCATAGAATTATGTTTGCTTTGCTCCCAGATTGTATTCTTTCAATGTACATTTGAGCTTCATCGATAAAAAAAAATACCGTTCGTTATCCCCCTTTTCTATTGATATAGTTATAAAGTAGAGCAAACGGATTTTCCATCTATTAAACACTATATATTTGTGTTATCTTCACAATATCTCTTAACTCTTTGGAGCCCATACCTTAAAAAATGGAATTTCTAACAAATTGTGCCCCTTTATCAACGAGCGAGCAGTTAAACTGTTTTAAAGAATCACTAAACACTGAAAGAAAAACCTAGTGAATTTTACTAGTGTGTTTCGTAAAGCGTTGGTCGTGATTAGTAAACTTTCAGTTTACTGGTTAAGATAGTGAATTGTGGAGCGGGGGTCGTAACTTAGATACCTAGTTAAAGTTACTCATCAATTCTAAATTTACTAATCTTATCTAGTAAATATACCAATATCTGGTAAAACTACTATTAAGGTAGTGATTGTATGGACAGTGAATCTACTAGTTTTCTTCGTGACATTAACTAGTTATATTTTTACAGTGAAGCGGAGAGTCTAAATGAACAAACAAAAGTTTAGAATACATGTATCTCGGTCAGGTTAAAAGTCTACTAATTATCACTGACGTTTTATCAGTGAATGATATTTATTATTTCCTGTTTTCTTTTATCATTTGAAAAAAAAAACAAATTAAATTAACATGTAAAATATTTTCATTTTTTCAGGTATGCGGATTGCCCTGCTTCAGTTGTTGGCAAGGGACACAAAGTCAAAAATCCTCCAGAAGGCGGAGGAATACATAGCACAAGCTGCAAAAAATGAGACTAAACTAGCTATTCTGCCGGTAGTAATGTGTCAACTGTGAATTTTTCTTCTAAAGATTATGTTTGTATATATAACAGAGAAAACTCATACAAAAACAAACAAAACATAAACAAAATAAAATTTCATACTGTATTTTGTTAATATGATTTTGTTTGTTTGTTTTGTTGTTGTTTTTTGTTTTGTTTTTGTTTTTTATTTTTAGATATAATCTATTGGATTTTTTTTGTAACTACTGTATCTTTCATCATTAGAAAATCTTTATAGCAACGATCGATGTACAGGCACGTAGTATCAGGGGGGGCCAGGGGGGGCCTGGCCCCCCCACTTTTTCTCCCGACATTACCTTTTCTGTAGAAAATGTTTACTAAAAGGAAGGTTGGCCCCCCCACATTTCAGCACAGTGTAGTGTTATAAAGAAAATTTACCCCAAAAAGTTTGAATTGAAAAAAGTTGGCCCCCCCCCCCCCCCCCCCCCCCCCCCCCCCCCCCCCCCCACGCCCCCACGAAATAGGATTTTCGACTTTGGGCAACTTTTTTTCTTTTTTTTTTTTTTTTTTTTTTTTCTTGTCAAATTTTTCAGGTAAGTAAAAAAAAAAATTTTCAGGTTGGCCCCCCCACTTTCAAAAACGATGCTACGTGCCTGATGTAACCAGGATTACAAAATTTGACGTCCAATTCTCAAAAATAATTCTATTCAATTTCTGACGGCAATATTATAATTTCTTGTAAAATGTTTATTTCTCGAGCTTGAACACTTAAGATTTCAACAAGACTGTACCCTGAAATATTAATCATGCTTTTCTCCATCAAATTCTCGAATTGGAAGTACAATCTATTAATCAATCAATCAATCAAGCCATTCTAAAATGTTATGTTCACATTGGCAAAAGATTTGAATCCTTTTTCATTATCTGTTCAAGATTAAGACATTGTCACCTCTAATGTATTTTTAAAAATTGTTCAATCGTTGTTTGTTTGAATGATAAAGTTTCAGCTAGTGACATAAAAACAATGGCTATAGCTTCTTCGTAAAACGGGAAATTTAAAAACCATTATTCTTGTGGATAAAATCATAATTTATGCTTGTAAAAAAACTAGCTGCGATGAGCTTGCCTAGCATTAGAAGACATAAATCATAATTTAAGCTTGTACATGTATAGTTAACCGAGATTGTGTGGTAGTTGTACTTTCATCACCAAGTATGGATTTCTAACCAGGGTACACAGCGACCAAGGAGCAAACTTTGATGGAAATATTATTAAGGAACTGTGTCAGATCACAGGAATGAAGAAGTCCCGAACAACACCGTACCATCCCATGGGGAACGGGATGTGTGAACGATTTAATCGTACACTCTTAGATATGCTTGGTACACTACAGCCATCCCAGAAATCCAACTGGAAGATGTATTTGTCACCATTAGTACAGGCATACAATAGCACCAGGCATGAAAGTACCGGGCAGTCCCCACATTTCCTGATGTTCGGAAGAGAGCCCCGATTGCCAGTAGACTTAGCTTTTGGGCTGAGCAACAGTGAAGGCAAGTCACTCCAATGTCATTTGATTTGTAGGAACTGTTCACCGTAGAACTACATCCTCCCGTAATGATGGCAACAAAGAAAGTATACCTGACGGAGAGATGTGTCAGCTGATGTCCCACCTGGCCAAGAAACACAACATGCATATTATCGCAGGTAAACACAACAGGTATAGGTATATAACAGGTGAACACTATAGGTATAGGAGTGTAACAGGTGAACACCATGTAACACCTGGCCAAGAAACACAACATGCACATTATCGCAGGTATTAAAACATGTATTGGTACATAGCAGGTAAACACAACAGGTAAAGGCACATAATAGGTAAACACCTTGTAACACCTGGCCAAGGAACACAACATGCACATCTATAGCAGGTATATGTACATAACAGGTTATCAGTTTAGGTATAGGAACATAACAGGTAAATGAAACACAACATGTACATTATCGCACTTATACAATCACAGATATAATTTCATTTACATGTACATAACAGGTTAACCCATTTTACACCTGGCCAGAAAACCCAATTTGCACATTATCACAGTGTCACTTTGTAAATTTTAAATTTGCCGGGTGACAGTAAATACAAAATTCACAACATGACAGCAGGTAAAAATCACATGTTTCTATAACTAAAAGGCATAATCTTGTTACACTTGGCTAAAAAAAAAACAACATGCACATTATCGCATATCTTATGATTTTCTGGACTTGT